CGGCCACATGCTCCTGTTTTCCTTCCAGAACACAGTTCTAGGTGCTGCCCAGCCGCATCGGGCCAGAGTCCCTCCCCTGCCCTCAGGTGTCCCCCCCCTCCCCCTGCCAGTCTGAATGACTATATGACTGTCCTGTCCCCGTCTGACTCCTGCGAAGTCAGCCAGCTGTCCAGGGCAGTTCCAGAACAGCGCGGAACACAAAGGCCTTCATCTGGCTCTAGGCCTTCCTTTCCTGTCCGTGCTTGACACCAACATCACCTCCTCTTGGGTGGCGTCTTCTTGTCATTGGAACCAGAGGCAGAGGCAGCCTGGTGTCTGCAGCTCCATTTGCTGGCGCTTTGACCCTGCCCCCTCCCTCACCTGGGTTCCCGCATCTGTAAAGCGGGGCTGATGGGCGGCTGCCAACGTGTAAAGGACACGAATGTGGAAAGCACTTGGAAGCACACGTGGCACCTGGTGGGCACCTTGTAAGTGGTGGCCATTTATTTGTTGAAAATCTAGGCCAAGTCCCTCCGTGGACTCCAACTTCTGCTATCACCTCGGCTTATGCGCGTAAAGCCACTTACCCAGCTGCCTCCTGTCTCCTGACTTTCACCCTCCAACTTACCTAAAGCACCCACCCTCATGCCCGCCCCCCACCCCCGCAACTAGTCTGGACTTAGAACTCTCCAGAACTGTCTCTGAAACCTGACACGTCAGCCCTCCACCTTCTGGAAGCATCCACCTGTCACCCTTCCAGCTCTCTTAGTGAGCACTGCCTTCAAACCTGCTGGCTTCCTTCCCAGGGGAGCCAGTTCGACCCCTCATTCCTCAGCCCATCAGATCCTCTGAACTAGTACAAGTTTCCCTGCTGAGTTTATTTATTTTTTAAAGATTTTATTATTTGAGAGAGACAGAGAGAGGGGAGCAGGGAGAGGCACAGAGGGAGAGGGAGAAGCAGACAAGAATAATTTATTGAAAGCAGAAACCTCAGGATCCCTGGGTGGCTCAGCGGTTTAGCGCCTGCCTTTGGCCCAAGGCGAGATCCTGGGGTCCCGGGATCGAGTTCCACGTCCGGCTCCCCGCATGGAGCCTGCTTCTCCCTCTGCCTGTGTCTCTGCCTCTCTCTCTCTGTCTCTCATGAATACATAAATAAAATCTTAAAAAAAAAAAAAAAGAAAACAGAGACCTCAATGCCATAGGAGAGAAGGGATACCCAAAGAAATGAAACTTGGGGGAGAAAAAAAGGAGGCAGGACCCCGGGGGTCCATGGAGGGATTAGACAGGAAGGGGTCATGCCCTTGGTGGTAGCAGCCAGGGAACTGTGGGCGTGGAGGTGGAGGTGGGGATGCTCGTGGGGGCTGTGGGGGCTTCCACTGTCTCCGGGGGCCGAGGCCGGGTTCCCAGCCTAGACAAGAGGGTGGCAGGAGGAACAAAGGTCTGCGGAGAAAGAAAATGTGTGTGAAAGCCACTTGGGGTTGACTCTTGGCAGTTAAACAAGAGGAGGGCCCGCAGTCCAAAGAGGGGGTGGTGTTTGTGAGAGTCAGAGTAGAACGAACTGGAGAATCCAGGTTAGACAAGAGAGTAAATTAAGGGGCGCCTGGGGGACTCAGCGGGTTAAGCGTCTGCCTTCAGCTCAGGTCATGACCTCAGGGTCCTGGGATCCAGCCCCACTCAGGCTCCCTGCTCAGTGGGGAGTCGGTTTCTCCCTCTGCCTCTGCCCCTCCCCTGCACTCAGGCTTTTGATGACTTACTAGAGGGTGGGATTAAAAGTGTTTTTGCAGTTATCGGACTGCATGATCTCACCAGCTTCCCAACACCTCCAAAGCATTCTCCAGACTGTTAAAGCAGAACATTTTTGTATGGTCTTCTGTGTGTGTGTGTGTGTGTGTGTGTGTGTGTGTGTGTGTGCGTTTCTTTAAGAAGAAAGATGTCTTCTTAAACACAAATATTGGTAAGAGTTAAGTTTTCTTTTAAGGAGAAGGATTACTTTTACTTGGCTATATAAATACAGTCCGGATAGGATTTAGATTTCAGTTATGTTAATAGGTATCTTAAAGACAAATAAGTTTATCTTATCCAAATCCTTTTTATTTATTTATTTAATTTTATTATTATTATTTTAAAGATTTTATTTATTTATTCATGAGACACACACACACACACACACACACAGAGAGAGAGAGAGAGAGAGAGAGAGGCAGAGACACAGGCAGAGGAGAGAAGCAGGCTCCATGCAGGGAGCCCGACGTGGGACTCGATCCCGGGTCTCCAGGATCATGCCCTGGACCAAAGGTGGCGCTAAACCGCTGAGCCACCCAGGCTGCCCTATCCAAATCCTTTTTAGAAGAAAATCATAATTTGTAAATAATTACAAACTACGTTGATAACATAGGGTTATTTGTTCTACCTGTGAACGCATCCTAATACTTCTTAAGATTCTATTGGTTGCTTTTCCTTATTACAGCTGACCCTGGAACAACCTGGATTTGAACTGCACAGGTCTACTTACACCTGGATTTTTTTTCAGTAATATATGTATCTTGCTATAAATGTATCTTCTATTACACATTTTCTTATGTGCTCTCTCTCTCTCTCTCTCTCTCTCTCAAATAAATAAATAAGATCTTAAAAAAAAGAGAGAGAGAGAGTAAGTTAAGTCCAGAGAGAAGTTAGATGCCCCGGAGGTTAGATGCCCCCAGGTGAGCAGTCTGGATTGGGCTGAATAGTTACCATCCAGGGGGCACCCGAGGAGGGGAGCAGAACACAGGGGGGACTGGATCAGAGTGGGGACGGTTCACGTCACTTTCTGGGGTGACAAGGCCCAGGCTGGCTCCGCGGAGGCAGGTGGGGTTGCAGGAAACGTCTCTGTTGATGAGGAAGTCAGGGGAAGGAGAGCAAGGCGAGGGCCATCAACAGGGAGTTGAGTTTCCCGGGGAAAGATGACGGGGCACAGGGCAGAGCTTGGGACCAGTGTTTTTCAAGACGCAGTGGGGCCAAGAACGTGCTATTTAAGGATGTTTTCTTACAAAGAGGTTTTTTCCTTTTTTTAAAGATATATCTATTCATGAAAGACACAGAGAGAGAGGCAGGGACACAGGCGGAGGGAGAAGCAGGCTCGATCCCGGGACCCCAGGATCAGGCCCTGGGCCCCAGGCAGGCGCCAAACCGCTGAGCCCCCCGGGGATCCCCTACCAGCAGGGAGGGGATTGAGGTGCCCCTTCTCCCAAGCGCACCCCAGGCCTCCAACAGCTGTGGGGCGGGAGGGGCGCACTTCTGTGTGCGCGCCAGGAGGGGGCGCGGGAGACCGCAGCCGGAGAGGGACCCGGGACCCGCCTCCTCCGCGGCCGCGCCCTGGGGCGCCTGCGAGCCGCTCGCTGCTAGGAGGCCGGAAATCCCAAATTAGTATTAGCAGGCAGAGATTGAGGTCTTGGCAGGGCCACGCTCCCTTGGAAGCTTCTGGGCCCGGGTCCCCCGCCCCGCCCCCAGCGCGCACCTCCTCCGCGTCCCCGTGCTCCCCTCGTCGGTGCCCGCGAGGACACCTGGCCCGGGGCGGCCGCCCGTCCAGATCCCTGTAGGACACCTGCTACGGCCCCGGATACCAACAGGGTCGCGGTGACAGGATCCGGGGGTTAGAGGGTCGGGATCGGTCTTTGGGGTCACCACTCACCCTCGTGCGCCCCTGTGGTCTCTAGTCAGCCCAGGGCGGGGCCCGCTGGGTTTGTTTCGGTGAACGTGTGGGTCGCAGCTGCTGAGCTCCCGCTACCCGCCCGCCCACGCCGAGGCCGTCGCCGGGCGCCCCGGGGCGGGCAGTGCCGTCCGCGCGGGGCACGTGGCGGCCGAGACCCGGAGGCTGAGCAGGCGCCACGCGGGATGGAGGAGGCGAAGCGTCGGAAGCAGCGCGGACCACCCCGGTGGGAGGCTGCCGCGTGGGGGGTCCCGGGTCCCGGCAGCACCCGGCGGGGACGCCTCCGAGAAGGCGGCGGTCCAGACCGCGAGCGCCGCCGCGCACATCTGCCGGCACCGGAGCGCGGGTGGAGCACGGGTGGGCGGGAGCGCGGGTGGGTGGGGAGCGCGGGTGACCACAGGTGGGCGGGAGCGCGGGTGGAGCACAGGTGGGCGGGAGCGCGGGTGACCACGCTGGGCGGGAGCGCGGGTGGGGCACGGGTGGGCGGGAGCGTGGGTGGAGCACGGGTGTGCGGGAGCGCGGGTGGAGCACGGGTGGGTGGGAGCGCGGGTGACCACAGGTGGGCGGGAGCGCCGGTGGAGCACGGGTGGGCGGGAGCGCGGGTGACACAGGTGTGCGGGAGCGCGGGTGACCACAGGTGGGCGGGAGCGCGGGTGGCGCACAGGTGTGTGGGAGCGTGTGTGACCACAGGTGGGCGGGAGCGCGGGTGGAGCACGGGTGTGCGGGAGCGCGGGTGACCACAGGTGTGCGGGAGCGCGGGTGGCCACGGGTGTGCGGGAGCGCGGGTGACACAGGTGTGCGGGAGCGCGGGTGGCCACGGGTGTGCGGGAGCGCGGGTGACACAGGTGTGCGGGAGCGCGGGTGACACAGGTGTGCGGGAGCGCGGGTGGCCACGGGTGTGCGGGAGCGCGGGTGACACAGGTGTGCGGGAGCGCGGGTGACCACAGGTGTTCGGGAGCGCGGGTGACCACAGGTGGGCGGGAGCGCGGGTGACCACAGGTGGGCGGGAGCGGGTAATGCGCAGGTGTGCGGGATTGCGTGTGGCGCACAGGGGTGCGGGAGTGCGCGTTGCCGACGGGAGTATGGGAGCGTGTGTGGCGCACAGGTGTACCAGGTGGGGGCGAGCAGCCCCCGCGCAGGCCCACGGACCTGGGTGGGAGCCGTCGGCGCGGGCTCCCAGGGAGCACGTCCCCCGTCCGTCCACCTTAGGCAGGTGCCTGCTCCCCGGGCTCCTGGGCCCCGCGCTCCAGAAGCTGCCCGGTGCGCAGGCGCGGGAGCGGCAGAGGGGAGCTCCCTGCTGGCCGGGGCGGGGGCAAGGAGCGGCCCGCGGCGCCCCTGCCCTGGTGCTGAGGACTGCGGGAGGCCGGTCCCATGGTGCCTCCGCCTGCCAGCGCAGGGTTCCCTTCAGGGGCTGCTGGCCGATCCCGACGGGGGCTCTGGAGACCGCGCATCTGAGGACGACAGCAGCCTTCTCCGAGCGGGTGACAGCATGGAGCGGGTGACAGCACGGAGGAGCACTGGGCCCACACGGCGTACTCTGGCCCGGAAACTAGGAAGTGTGCAGTTGCATTATGGCTAAGAAAATGTACGTACCTCTATTAAAAATACTTTACTGTTAAAAAAGGTTACACATCACCTGCGCTTTCAGTAAACTGTATCACTGGTCACAGGTCACCAGGACACATGTAATAAAGAAGTTTGAGCTGCTGCAGGAGTGACATGTGACACCGAGACATGAGGTGAGTAAATGCTATTGGAAAAGTGGCCCCTATAGACTTGCTCCCTGCGAGGTTCCCACAGACCGCTTATTTGTCCGAAGCCCAGTGTCTGCGGAGCACAGTAAGGCGAGCACAGCGGTAGCAGGTCAGCCTGCACCTGCTCACATGGCCATTGTCACCAGCAGCTCAGATTGGCCTCCTGAACTCCTCCCTTGGACCAGGAAGCTGGAAGCCCTTGGCTGGGCTGGGTTTTGCTCTTCCCCTTTCTCAGCATGTTGCCTGGCTGAGGTCACCAGCCAGGCCTGGATGGCTGTGGCTGAGGGGACGGTCCCCAACGGGTGGCGGGCTCCAGTGAGACGAGATGAGATCCATTGTTTTCACTGAGAAACTTTTTATGCAAATGGAAGGTAGCTTGGAAGGAGGTATGTAAGCAGATGAAAGTAGAGATGCTCCAGATGAAACGAGGTGCAGAGACCTAGTCCCACCTGCCAGAGACAGCACACACAAGTGTGGGGAGGACAGAGAGAATCTTTTTTTTTTTTTTTTAGGATTTTATTTATGTATTTGAGAGAGTGAGTGAGCAGCACCAGCAGGGGGAGGGATAGATGGAGAAGCAGGCTCCCCACTGAGCAGGGAGCAGGATGTGGGGCTCTATCCCAGGACTCTGGGAGGTGACCTGAGCCAAAAGCAGATACTTTTTTTTTTTTTTAAGATTTTATTTATTTATTCAATAAATAAATTGAGGGAGAAGCAGGCTCCCTGCGAGGAACCCGATGTGGGACTCAATCCCCGGACTCTGAGGTCACGCCCTGGGCTGAAGGCAGGCACTAAACCGCTGAGCCACCCAGGGATCCCCCAAAGCAGATGCGTGACGGCCTGAGCTATCCAGGTGCTCTGAGAGAGAGAATCTTAAGCAGGCTCCATGCCCAGTGCTGTGCCTGACGTGGGGTTCTATCTCACAACCTTGAGGTCGTGACCTGAGCTGAAACCAAGAGTCGGATGTTTAACTGACTGCACCCCCCAAACACCCCCCAGACAGAAGCTGTTCTGAACAGTTTGAAAACCACCAGACTCAGGTGTAAGGTCAAGTGTTACAAAAGGAAATTGGGAAAGGAGACGGGGCCACTTACCCAAGCTGGGGCACAGGACAGAGGACATCGAGGTCAGATAATAGGGTCAGAACCCATGTCTAGCAGCAAGGGGAACACGTGCACGTAGGAGAAATATGGTATAAAAATTATCAATCTTCGAGGAAGACACTAAATCTTTGCAATAGAGTAGTGAACATTCTACACAAAGAATGTTAGTTTAGTGGGTGAAACCAAAGCTTATATTAAAATACTTAAAAATATATTATAACATCTTCCCCTGTTAGAACTCTGTTGAGCATATTATAGCGACATTACTAATTTTTAGGTCAACTCCTTCAGAAATGTTTGGAATGTGACCTGTGACTTTCATCTTTAGAGAAGGTTCAATATTTTCTCCTTTAAGAATAATGTTTTAGTGTTTAAAAAATATTTTTCAGGGACGCCTGGGTGGCTCAATGGTTTAGTGCCTGCCTTTGGCCCAGGGCATGATCCTGGGGTCCCGAGATCGAGTCCACGTCCGGCTCCTGCGTGGAGCCTGCTTCTCCCTCTGCCTGTGTCTCTGCCTCTCTCGGTGTGTCTTTCATGAATAAATAAATAAGATCTTAAAGAATTTTTTTTTCAAACACTTAGAAGATTTAAGTATTAAGCCACATTGTTAACACACTTCACAAAAAAAAAAATCACTGTTGGGGGACACCTGGGTGGCTCAGTTAGGCAGCTGACTCTGGATTTTGGCTCAGGTCATGATCCTGGGGCCCCGGAATCAAGCCCTGCATCAGGCTCTGCGCCCAGTGGGAAGTCGGCTCGAAGATTCTCTCTCTCCCTCTGCCTCTGCTCCCCCCGACCCCTGCATGTGCACACACTGTCTCAAATCAGTCAATCTTCAACAACCCCTGTTGGCTCATTTTCTGCTATGTTGGAAAAATAGCAAGTTTAAGTTACCAAATTCAAGATGCCGTTCCTTCTGTTTTCAAAGTAGGATGGTTGGGCAGCCCGGGTGGCTCACCAGTTTAGCACCGCCTTTGGTCCAGGGTGTGATCCTGGAGTCCCGGGATCGAGTCCCACGTCCGGCTCCCTGCATGGAGCCTGCTTCTCCCTCTGCCTGCGTCTCTGCCTCTCTGTCTCTCTCTCTCTCTCTGATGAATAAATAAATAAAATCTTTTAAAAAAACAAAGTAGGATGGTTTTTTTGCAAACTTCTTTCAAAGACTTGTATCTCTTAGATATAATAGTTGATACTCCGTCAAGTATGAACATTTAATGTCATGCCAGTTTTTCATTGATTCAGCACTTATTACTCAATAATGATTGTGTATCTCCCCATCATCGGGTAATAAGCAGCAGCACTGGAGAGTAATAATGGGCTCTGTTCTGGGTCTGGGTCATCCTGCCTCTGCCACTTGTCAGCTATCCAGGGTGAATTAGCATCTTGATTTAGCCTTACAGTTTCCTCTTCTGTTGTTGAGACATTAAATGAGGCCTGTGTGTAAAATGTTTGTACGTAGCACGTAGAACATACAGCACCCCACCCCAAACCTTGCTTCTTTCCTTTGCATAAACGTGTACAGCTGAAGCTCCCATGTATTCATTCGATAATGTTGATGAACCACTTGCTCTACAAAAATAGTAGATGCAAGCTGCTTTTAAAAGTCAGTTCAGAGGAAAAAAAATAAAAAAAATCAGTGTGTGGGGAGGAATCATGACTAGGAAAGGGAATAGCTTGCCCACAGTGGTGTTTCTTGCAATGTATGCAAAGTAATCCAAAATTATTTTCAAATATGTGATTAGTTTTAAAAATCACTTGCAAATGTTCACTTCCAGCCACGATGTGATGATAGGACTGGATTCGCTCTCCCACCACGAACAACTAGGAAGCCATACTCAAAGTACGAAACAATAGTTGTTTTTTTTTTTTTTTTTTTCAGAAACAGTAGTTTTTAGACATTGGACAAAGATCACAAGTCACAATCTGTGAGAGAAGCAAGACAGGGAAGCACTGTGGTTCTCAGCGTTTGGGCTATCGCGGAAGGAGGTTCTGGAACTGTTTGGACAGGTTACTGTGGTTATGTAGGAGAATGTTCCTGGTTTTTAAAATTAATTAATTAATTAATTAATTAGTTAAAATGTTCCTGTTTTTAAGCAGTACACACAAGTATTTAGGGGCAAAAAAGGCAACACTTTTGAACAGTTTGGGAAAAAGATAATTTGTAGATGTAGACATAGATACAAATATATATGTATATATATATATATATACACACACACACACACATTTATGAGACAAAATGATAAAACATGGAAAAATGTTAACATAGGGAATCAGGGTGAAGGGAATATGGGAATTCTTTGTACAAGTTTTGAAGTTTTTCTGTAAGCTTGGAAGTGTTTCAAAAATTTTAAAAAGTCAAAAAAAATTTAAAAAGTCAAAGTATTACTGACTTATTAATGTAGGAACACTGAGCCATCTGTTTCTACTATTTCTACTACTTAAATGCCATTCAAGGGATCCCTGGGTGGCGCAGTGGTTTGGCGCCTGCCTTTGGCCCAGGGCGCGATCCTGGGGACCCGGGATTGAATCCCACGTCGGGCTCCCGGTGCATGGGGCCTGCTTCTCCCTTTGCCTGTGTCTCTGCCTCTCTCTCTCTCTGTGACTATCATAAATAATAAATAAAAATTTAAAAAAATGCTGTTCAAACACGATGCAGAAAAGAAACAGGAATTCCTTCAGATTTGTGGTAATTACTTTAGACTTAGCTATTTTGTAACAGAATAAAAAGCACTGAAGCTTAGCATATTTACCTTGTACAGTGTGTATATCTGTATTTGTAAATTACACATCTGTTTCCTGTATAAAAACTGGAAGATCCAGGTAAGCAAAGACAAATAATTTCAGCAGAGAAACGCTGCTAATCAATTGTCTTTCTGTGTAGTCATAATATACTTTATACTGGTAACTGGTGACATTAAATTTCCATGCTTTCTGAAACGTGATTTTGGAGTAAACAACATTCAATTGCAACTTATTTTTAAGCATTTAAAATTTTTATTTTTAAAAAGATTTTATTCATTCATTCATTCGAGATACAGAGGGAGGCAGAGCCATAGGCAGAGAAGCAGGCTCCATGCAGGGAACCCGATGTGGGACTTGATTCTGGGACGCCAGGATCATGCCCTGAGCTGAAGGCACATGCTCAACCATTGAGCAACCCGAGGGTCACGATCCCAAGATCAAGAGTTGCATATCCCAACAACTGAGACCTCCAGCTGTCCCAATTACAACTTATTTTAGAAGGCGATTGGGGATCCCTGGGTGGCGCAGCGGTTTGGCGCCTGCCTTTGGCCCAGGGCTCGATCCTGGAGACCCGGGATCGAATCCCACGTCGGGCTCCCGGTGCATGGAGCCTGCTTCTCCCTCTGCCTGTGTCTCTGTGTCTCTGCCCTCTCTCTCTCTCTCTCTCTCTCTCTCTCTCTCTCTGTGACTATCATAAATAAATAAAAAAAAATTTAAAAAAAAAAAAAAAAAAAAAAAAAGAAGGCGATACTACATTGCCAATACTATTTTTTTAAATAAAGATTTTATTTTTTTTATAGAGAGAGGCAGAGGGAGAAGCAGGCTCCCTGAGTGGAGCCCAATGTGGGACTCGATTCCAGGACCCCGGGATCATGACCTGAGCCAAAGGCAGGCGCTCAACCACTGAGCCACCCAGGCATCCCATTGCCAATACTATTAAGAGTACTTTGTAGGAAGCACTTTAGTAACAAATAATACACACCATACTGTGTGTGTACTGACCGCTATGGTTTTGAGAAAGCCAGATTCCAAGGAGGAAGAGCCTTTTCAAAGCGCTGGCTCTCGAAAGGATTTAGCATCTCAGTGCTGCTCGTTCTGTAAAGTACTAGAAGATAAACAGAAGCACAGACAAGCTGTAGGGCACACTTCAAGCCACACTACTGTTGGGTGGTGAGGACGAGCAGACTCCTCCTTAGTAAAGTCACACTTTGTGTCCGATGCTGAAATATTCTTAATGGGGGGGGGGACACCTGGGGGCCTCAGTGGTTGAGTGTCTTTGGCTCACGTGGTGATCCCAGGGTCCTGAGATCGAGTTTTGCATCAGGCTCCCTGCGGGGAGCCTGCTTCTCCCTCTACCTCTGCCTCTCTCTGTGTGTCTGTCATGGATAAATAAAAATCTTAAAAATAAAAATTTTAAAAATGAAGTGTTTTTAATGGTGTCAACTTGCAAAAAGAATTAAATATGCTTATACAAACATTCTTATATTCTGGGTATTGTTCTTGACTAATTTTTTATCAATATGAAAAGTAGGTCATATAAGGAAAAGTATTTAAAAACATATTTTTTAATTAGGCCTGGATAAAGCCCACAATGTCAAAATAGAAGGACAGGTCGAAATTGCACAAAAGTAGTGTGTAAGTTAAACAAACAAAAAAAAATGTTTAGAGAGAGAGCACGAGGAGGAGGGCAGGGAATCTCAAGCAGACTCCATGAGGGCAGAGTCCAACACAGAGCTTGATCTCAAGACCCTGAGATCATGACCTGAGCCAAAATGATCAATGCTTAATCAACTGCACCGCCCAGGTACCCTAAAAGTATTGTGCAAATTCTGAGTGTTTGGCATTAGTTAATAGCTAAAAGCCATGACAGTAGATAAATACTAGAGGAGGGGCACCTCGGTGGCTCAGTTGGTTAAGCATCCAGCCCCGAGTCTGGCTCCCTGCTCACCCGGGAGCCTGCTTCTCCCTCTCCCTCTGCCCTTATCCCTCCCACCCTGCTTGTGCTCTATCTCAAATAAGTAAATAATATCTTTTAAAAAAAAAAATACTAGGGGGAATATTCAAATAAGAGGAAACAATTTAAAGTTTATTAGGCCTTTTGTTAAAAAATCAGATCTCTTCCTGATACCATACTTGTGCCGGATCTACGTGTCAGTGTGTCGATGATCCGAGCTGTGGCTACGTGATTGGATTTACAGAGTCTAACAAGTCAAAAACAATTTTGACTACTGAAGAGACCACCTCATGGTTGCTCTGTGTGCAAGAGGTATGAAAAGTAATCAGCACGGGGGGGTGGGGTGGGGACCAGGAAAGGTCTATACTGTGTGTGTACTGACTGCTATTGTCCCTTTTGTATGTCAGCATCCTTTAAAGACTTTCCTTCTCAAGGTTGTGATTTATTTGGCCTGTTCACTTTCAGCTGGATATCACTAATGTTTTCTATTGGATGATCCATGTGTTGATTTAACTTTTTTTTTTAAAGGTTTTATTAGTTATTTGACAGAGTGAGAGTGAGAGCCCACACACAAGCAGGGGGAGCAGCAGGCAGAGGGAGAGGGAGAAGCAGGCTCCCCAATGATCAGGGAACCCATTGTGGGGCTCGATCCCAGGAGCCTGAGATCATGACCTGAGCTGAAGGCAGACGCTTAACCAGCGGAGCCACCCAGGCGCCCCTGACTTAACTTTCTTAAAATTAGAAAACATGTAACTTATCATTGCTAACTTTAGGATTTTGAAGTTACTTTCCAGAAAATACCCCTTCCCCAGGATCAAATATTAGCTCTGGATTTAGGTGAGCCTTTACTATCCTAATCTCTTCCTCCCATTGTCGTTGGTATCGGTGGGTTGCCCTTCCTAAATTCTACTGATGTATAAAGCCCTCTAATGTTATAAAGCAACTGGCATATAGAAGAGACAAAAAATACACGACTGTTAGTTTAAAAAATGTTTTAAAATTATAAATACATGCCTTAAAAAAATTCAAATATACAGGATAAACAACTGCATAGTTGAGTATGGAAGCCACTGGCTGGATTTCCATTGTTCAAGTTATCACACGGGGTTGGAGGGTAGCACACCAGCGGAGGACACGGACACATTTCCATCATTACAGAAGGCCCACTGGGCAGTTCACTGGCTACCGCCCTACAGTAACCATAATTAAGCACTAGTATATACGTGGCTCATTATAGGAGGTTCTGCATATACTCTGGATACAAGTACCTTATCAGACGGGATTTTTACACTTTCTCCTGTGCTGTGGTTGTCTCTTCACTTTCTTGATGGTGTTCTCTAAAACATAAGAGTCATTTTGAGGAAGTCCAATTTATTTATTTTTCCTTGTTGCTTGTGCATTTGGTGTTGTCGCTAAGAAACCACTGCTTCGGGATCCCTGGGTGGCGCAGTGGTTTGGCGCCTGCCTTTGGCCCAGGGCGCGATCCTGGAGACCCGGGATCGAATCCCACATCGGGCTCCTGGTGCATGGAGCCTACTTCTCCCTCTGCCTGTGTCTCTGCCTCTCTCTCTCTCTCTCTGTGACTATCATAAATAAATAAAAATTAAAAAAAAAAAAAGAAACCACTGCTTCGTCCAAGGTCACGAAGATTTACTTGTATGTTTTCTTGTCAGTTTTACAATTTTAGCTCTTATATTTAGGTATAGGATCCTTTCTGGGTTGAAATTTGTATGTAGTATTGGGGGGGGGTTCTTTAGCACTTGGCTATACAGTTGTCCTAGGACTATTCGTTGAAAAGATTACTCTTTCTTACTGAATGCTATTGGCAGTATTGTCAAAAATTAATTGATCATAAACATTATAGGCTTATTTCTGGATTCTCAGATATATTTTATATTCCCTTAATCCATGTTTATCTTCATTCCAGTGTCACACTGTTGGTTACTGTAGCTTTGTAGTTAATTTCTGTAATTGGTTAAGTGTGAATCTTCCAACTTTGTTCTTTTTCAAGATTGTTCTGGCTTTTGTATTTTCCATGCGGATTTTATCAATTTTGGGTTTCTGTATAAACTTTATCAGTTTGTCAATATTTGCAAACCAGCCAGCTGGGATTTTGATAGGAACTGCAGTAACTCTGTGGAGCAATTTGGGAGCAATCTTAACAATGTAAAGTCTTTCACTCCATGAGCCAAAATGTATTTCCATTTATTTAGGTCTTCTTTTAATTTCTTTCAACAATGTTGTATAGTTTTTATTCATCTCAATGCTACTGTAGATAGAACTTTTAAAAATCTCAATTTCAGAACATTCGCTGCTGACACAGAAATAAAACTGATCTTTGTATATTGATCTTCTATCCTGTAGCCTGGTGAACTCATTTCGTAGTTTTCAAATGAAACTTCTTAGAATTTTCTATCTAATAAGATTGTCATCTGTGAAGTTTTCCTTCTTTCCCGTAGGATTTTTTCTTTTTCTAGCCTAAATGCCCTGGACAGGACCTCAAGAACCAAGGTTGAATAGAAGGGGCGAGAGTGAATGTCCTTGTCTCATTCCTCATGTTAGGGGGAGGACATTCAGCATTCAGTTTGTTGCCAATAATGATGTTAGGTGTGGGCTTTTTGTAGTTGCTCTTTATCATATTGGGGGATTTCCATTTTATTCCTAGTTTGTTAACTATTTTTAATCATGAATGGGTGAATTTTATATGTTCTGCAGCTATTAAGCAAGTCAGTGTAGTAGTTTGGTCCTTTATGAATATAGGATGGTTGATACTCATTATTTATGAGCCTATATTTGTGAATTTACCAGTTTATTTGTAAAATGTGTAATCCCCAAATCAAAACTGTCAGCACTTTAATGATCACTCATAGATATGTGCAGACCTATGAAAATTTTGAGTTTCACTGATATGCATGTTCCCAGTGGGGGAGAACAAGGCCATGGTTCACCTTCCTGTTCCAGCTCTGCCCCAGACATGACCAGAAGATGAGGGGCCAGGGGCAAGGCTGTGTGAGCTTTGGCTCTGGGGCCAGCTGGACGGGTATGAATCCCAACTGTGGCAGTTATAAGTGGGGTAGCCTCAGGAAGTCACTTAATATTTTTGAACCTCATTTTCTTTGTAAAATAAAACAATATACACCAGGATAAATAGTTCTCAGGATTTAAGATTATATATAATCTATTTGAGATATGAATGCACACACACACGTGCACACACATCTCCCCTAGGAGCAATGGCTCTGCATTCACTGGTTCAGTATTCATTGTGACTTCCTAGATTATAACTACTGTGAATAATGAGAATTTTTTGCATTTGACATTGATTTTTGGATGTTACACAAACCTTGCATTCCTGGGATCAATCTTACTTGGTCATGGTGTATGATCCTTTTTATTATGTTGCCAGACTCAGTTTGCTAGTATTTTGTTGATGACTTTTTGATCTGTTTTCTTGCGATGTCTTCACCTGGTTTTGTATCAGCGTAATAGTGGCTTCATAAAATAAGTTCGGAAGTGTTCTCTCTCCTTGCATTTTTGGGAGAGAGTTTGCAAAAGATTGGTGTAATTCTCTAAATGTTTGGTAGGATACAGCAGCGAAGCCACCTGAGCCTGGTATTTTCTTTGTGGAATGTTTTAAGATTACTAATTCAGTATGTTTGTTATTGGCACTTGCCATTTTAACTTGCTTTAGGTAGGACAAAAGGTGGTAAGATTCTCTCTTAAGGCCAGTAAAATTCATTAAGAAAATGTAAAATTCATTAAGAAAATGTTATCCCAAAAAAAAAAAGAAGGGAAAAAAATGTTATCAAGGAGGACATATCCAGTGTTGGTAAGATTCAGAGAAGCAGCTGCCAAGATTATTCAGTGGCAGAAGCATCCTGCGGTCTTGCTCTAAGACAGACAAACATTTCGTCACCTTTCCATGTGCTTTCCTGACCTTAGGAACCATAAATTTCCGCCTGTTCTACATAAGATTTATATACCAACCTCGTAACTGATGCTTGCAGTGACGTCCTATAATCACAAATTAAAGTTTATACATTTCTAAGATTATATACAGACCTGCATATTTACATATTATCTTTAAATCCATCTACAAATGTAAAATGTGTCTCAGAACCTGTCAGGAAGGTAGCGTGTAGTGGAATAAACACTGGAATGGAAACCTGGAGGTCTCAGTTCTGGTGCCAGCTCTAAAGTACACAAGATGCCTCCATCTGTTTCTCCCACTGATGAAACTGGGTTAAGTGTGATCATCACCAGGGTTTTTTGCCCTGATTCTAAAAATACAATGACTCACTCTACAATAACATCATTCTCATCATTCTTACTTCAGAGTGCTCAAAATGAAAATATTTTTGTTATAAACACACGAACATATACACATCCATCCTTTACCCTTACAAAACAAGTCAACCAATTCATCAGCTCCTAAGAGAGAAGGAAGAGGGTAAATAATATAATTCCAACACCTGAAAGTCCTGAGTTTGCCATGAAATATCTTTACTAATCTCTCTCTTCGAATAGGTATTTGCTTCTTCATGATGCTTCCCTTCATGTCAGTCCTGTTGCACAGGAGGCATCTGGTAATTATGACAACTTCCAACAACAAGGAGGTCACTTTTCGGAAATTCGGAGTGCCTCAGAGAGACTGAATGGCACGTCATCAGTTGTCTCCACTGGCACGTTGCTCCTACCGAACTGGCATGGATAGTGGTGGGTGTGGTGACTTGACATAAATGCATCTGCCGTCCGGCTGCAGCGACAGCCATCTGATGGCAAGATGTTACTTGAGTTACCAAGGTGCGAATGGTAAACCCCGTGGAATGAGTCTTGAGACGAGTGGTAGTGGCCGCCTCCTGCTGAGGTGGATGCCGAGCTCTGGTAAGGTCCATTACACATAATACAAGTTTGGAAGCAAGTCTTCCTTCCCAAACCTCGGTGAATGTCCAGTTTGGCAATGAGGGGTTTCCCAACATTCACCTCCTGCTTCTCCTCTACAGTATCTTCCAGTCCTGAGTACTGATATGACAGGCAGACTGAGAAGACGAGATGTTCCTGAAAAGGAAAAGACAATTATTTGTATCAATTGTGAAAGCATCTCAATCTTAAGAGTACTTACTGACATATACAAATACACATGATCACACAACAACAGCAGCTACTCTCACTTCCCTTTCCCAGGTTCCAAATCCCCAAGGCCCGTTTACCCCTTCCCCACACTCAGGAAGGCCCGCTATAATTGCCTTCCCTTTCCCTCATTCAGTACTTTCAACTGGTGGAATTCTAGATCCTGCTCCTGACAGCAGCCAGAGTCACAGCGACCTTGTACCACACTCTGGGTGAACAGTGGAAATGTGTTTTCTAAGCAGTGGGGGTTGGGAAACTTACCCTTCCCTATTAGTGAAGATGGAGAATGATCCCTTAATGAAAAAATCTGGCTGTACACCTAGGCCAGAAGTTTAGCTGTTTTAAAAAACCTGAAATAATAATCCACAGTCCCAGGTGGAGAAATACCACTGAATCCGATCATTAGGGTTATTTCAAAGACAAAGGAGACTGCAGGTAGATTAGCTAGGAATGGGATGACAATAGTCTGTGTTGTTCCTTAACTAGGAAATGATTACTTGAAGATGCAAAGGTATTTTTTTTTTTTAAGATTTTATTTACTTATTCATGAGAGACACAAAGAGAGAGAGAGAGAGTCAGAGGCACAGGCAGAGGGAGAAGCAGGCTCCATGCAGGGAGCCCGACGTGGGACTTAATCCTGGTTCTCCAGGATCAGGCCCTGGGCTGCAGGCGGCGCTAAACCACTGTGCCACCGGGGCTGCCCGATGCGAAGGTGTTTAAAAGCAGACCATGCTCTGTATCTCTAAGTTTTCAAAAATGTGGAGAGTAATCACATGTGCTCTCACACAAAAACCCTCAGGCCACTACCAGGGACAGAACAGAATATTGCAAGGGTCACTGATGAGACGCACTGTGTATCACTTACCTCTACTTCAATTTAATACCAATGAAGCAGCTCATCTATAAACTAATACAACTGTCACACACCAACATGAACTTAACTTTCATTAAGTTAGTAGTTATAAACAGGACAAGTAATAACCTTTAATTTTTGCAGCGAACTGAGCCTAGTGTAGAGGCAATGCTTGGGAAGATCCTTGGATACTAAATAGCTGCCAGTTTCTTCAGGCGTCCCTTTATTTGCATCTTTTGGATCAATATCTAAATCCTGTGAAAATCAGCAGATGTTATTAATGAAATCACTTAAGGTCACAACGTAGTCTATGACAGTATACTATCTGAACAGGTATTGCTCTCTTATGAAATTTTGGCCTGAGAGGTGAGCCCTTTGCTAGGACTAAAGAAACTGTAAGAACGACATTCTAGAGTCTAACAGGAATTCTAAATTGTGCACAGATACATTTAAAAAGTTAGCTCTGCAAGGCTACTTTCAAACTACCCCTAGGAGTACTTCTTAGCCCACTTGAGCTTCCTTTAGGGTTCCAGCCCTGTTAGTGTGTGACTCCTGGATTCTTTTCCTGCTCACTCAACACTTTTGGGAAGGTGTAGGGGGATTTACATGATTCATATATTTAAAAAGAATAAATGGACGTGTACATACAGGCAGCCCTTCCCTTTTTCTTCTCTAAGAGCCAAGCCCTGGCTGAGAGCGGGAGATCTGTTCTGGAACTTCAGAGAGAAGGCCTCAGGCTCCCCCTGCCCAATGCCCAGGAGGCCCAAGCGAGTCCAGCGCTGTCAGGGTTGGTAGACAGACCTGTCTAATCTGGGGTCCAGGGCTGGACCGTTTGCTCTCACATGAAGCAGTGTCCTCTGTGAAGCCTTTATCAGTAGCAAGGGTGATGTTCTGGATTTGTCTTGTTCCTTGCTTACTTCTCAATTTACTACAGTCATGTAGGAAAGAGGAGCACTATTTATTGGCTTCTTTAGGCCAACGGAAATAAATGAAATAAATGATGATATCTTAATTTTCAGAAAAAACAACTAAATTTCTATGCTTCCAATATACTATAATTTTATTTCTTCACACTTGATATCCTCCTCAGGGCTAAGGAAATTAAAGGCTTCTTTCCTAGGTGAACTTTAGCCATTCCTAAATTTGATAAATGTAGCATATTTGGGGGGTTAGTTTTTAAATGTAATATAAGATATATTAAATATGAAAAACAGACTAATACTAAAATACAAATAAGTATTTAGATAAATGGAATATATATGTATGTATTCTTAGTTCCTTTAAATTTACCATCAACTTTAAGTTTCCATATGTTTAGTCTTTAGTAAGTGACGCTATACCGTCCTATTTTGAGTAAAAGAAGATAGGGGGTTCTTACAAGAGGGAAATCGGTGACATAGGCGTCGCACATCACCACGTCGGCTGGCTTGTGAACTATGCTCGTGTAGATTATCATGACATTGGAGAACTCGGCGGCAAACCCTAACTGAATCTGAACGCCACACTGAAATTTAAGACACATACTTTCTGGGAGTTCTGAAAAAGAACAAAAAGAATAACTTATTTGAGAAGTGCTTGGTAAGTGTTCTCATAAGCAACAGGCAATTGTTCTTTATGGGACAAAATATAGTGAGAGCTTCAGCTTCTGCTTTCGCTTACAAATGTTCTATAACACATTGTTGAAAAACACACAGACACATATGCATGCAGTTAAAAAAAGAGGAAAAAAAAAGCCCCATGTTCTGCTGGTCAAGCAAATAAGAATCTTTCATTGACTATTTCCTTATAGTTCTCATCCCTCTGCATATGTAACTTTCACAGTGGGAATCGAAAGTATCCATACAGTCGTAAATACATTTTCACTGTTGCCTCAATCTTCATGAAAACAGTTTTTAAGAAAGCATAATGTCACTGAATATTTGTTACTTTGAACAATTCCACTACTCTTGAGTATCTGTGGTATTTCTGGGTTTTATTGTTTTTCTATCATAGTCATTATTTCGAATATATATGTACTCAATGCTTTAGGATTATTAGATACAGCTATTCGATGGTCCCTCACACATGTGACATCTCCTTTTATACAGAATATAAATAGATCTCACCATAACATTTCCAAAATGAAGTAACATTAATTTTCAAAGTGTGTACCTAGTTGATGGTATAAAAAAGGAAAAACTGTACTAACATAGTTTTAATTTTATTTTCTCTAATTACTACTTAAGTTTACCATTTTCTGTATTTGTTCCTTAATTATTAATATATTCTCAATTGTGTAGGCTGAATTTGCATCCTTTGATGATTAACTGAGAGAGTCTTAACGTTTTTCCTTTTACCACTTTGCGCTCTTTAACATAAAAAATACCAAATCTGTTACAAAAAAAAAAATGCTCTCTTTCTAGACAAACTCTCCACGTCTCTAGAGCCTGTTTGCCTTTGGTAAGGTGACATTTACCCATATCTAAAAGATAAGAATTAAGTATTATTTTAAGACCACAATTTTTTCGTTATGTTTTAAATATTTAGGCCAAGAACTATGCTGCAAATCCAGTGATGTTTTCAGTATCACTTACTCACTCAACAACTATTTTCCTGAACACCTAGTATGTGCCAGGCATAGTTCAAAGTAAAGAACAAACAGATAAAAATATTGGATGAGCCTATGTCTAAGGTTTCTTTCTTTCTTTTTTTTTAATTCGAAGTCCTAATTGGCTTTATTAGGCAGGCAATTCATGAATTCGGCAGCATCTCATACAGCAAGTAAAGAAATGCTCTCTTTGTTTCATTTCATAAAGGTTGTATTTACTGTTGATTTTTACCACCATGATTTTGTTACTATTGTTGTTTAGGGCTTTTTTAAAGGAAAAGAATCAATTTCTTTCTTTTTTTTTTTTTCATTTCAATTACTTATCCAACTATCTGAAAAACCAAGACACTATATTTGTGGCATTTTATTTTAATGTGCTTTAACATATTTACCAAAAATATATCTTAGAGAACAGACTATTAGGAAAAGAAAGATATTATATAGAAGTTCAACGAATACAATTTTCAATTATCTACAGTAAAGGATACATAATACAGATATTTGGGACTCACAACAAATCTAAAATCTTCATTTCGGTCAATAATTTAAACTTACTTTTTCACTAAGTCACATAGAATTACCCAGGGTAATGAAGTTACAGGTATGATTTCCACCTCACCTTCTACTGTCTTGCTCACTGACTCATGGATTCAAGAGTCAAAGACAGAGAATACTCAGTAATATTTATGAGCACGTAGTATTTGCTGACGAGTGTGCTTCTCTATTTACGTGTGTGATCTCAATCAAGCCCAGCAACCTTACCAGGTATTATTTCTTGTCCCCATTTATAGGTAACGTGCTTATCCAGTGGTAGAGACAGGATCAGAACCCAAACCTGTCTGATTTTTCAAATAGCACACTTCCAACAGCTCACAACAGAATAGGATCTAAGGGACTGTATGTTACATAAGTTGTTTAGTCTTGGGTTTGCCCACCAGGCTAAAATATTTTCACTACAAAATCAAGAGGAAAACTATTTATTCAGGAGGGAAAAAACCTCCTTCATCATTTAATGCAGCATAGTATAGAAAAATCTCACAAAAAGCCAGACATCACCATACCATGTGCCTTGGCCCACTGTAGATTCCGAACCAGAGATTCTGCGGAATAGGCTGTTCCCTGAATCGGGTCAGTAAGTGCTCTCTTTTCAGATAAGCTACTCCGGATCTCTAGAGCCTGTTTGCCTTTGGTAAGGTGACATTTCCCCATATCTGAAAGATAAGAAATAAGTATTAAGACCACAATCTGTGTTTAAAATATTTAGGTCAAGAATTCTCCGGCAAATCCAGTTACAGCCTCAGTATCACTCATGCACTCAACAACTATTTTCCTGAACATGTACTATGTGCCAGGCACAGTTCAAAGTAATGAGCAAACAGAGAAAATATTGGGCCAGGCCACTTCTAAAGGCCCCCTTTTAGCTTTTATCTTCTATAATTCTATTATCGTATCCCTAATATTTGAAGCTTTAACATTTACAAAGATCTAGAAGTATATTCTTTACTGCAAGGGTAGCCATGGTAATTTTATGTCTATACTCTGTTGAGAAATACATGTATTTAGTAAACAAATGACTACTTATCCATGAGAAAGGAAGATATCATGCCATCTTTATCTCAGATATCCTTAAGAAATAATGTGTTACAACCACTGATATGGCTAAATCACCATAAGTCCTCTCCCCTGACTCAAAATAAGCACCATCCAATGTAGTATGTATATTCCCGTGCATATCTTAATTTTCACTCATGCATAGGCACTGGTAAGTAGTTTATGCCAATGTTTTAGGTTTTAAGATTAACAAATGTTATGCTGTATGCATGCTTTGTGTTTTCACCCAACATGTTTTAGGCAAGGACTTGTGACAATTGATAAACATGAATTTAAATTTACAAAACCATATATATCATATTCTTTAATATGAATAAATTATAGTTTCTCTTACTTCTATTTTTATTATTTATTATTATTAATTATTAATAAAGTTATAAAGTAATAATATCTGGCCCCTGGTATGTAGTTACTTATCTGAAAAAAAAGAGGTAAAACTAAGATTCTGAAAGAGAAGAATCTATTCTTAAATAGAAGCTAAATATAAAAAACAGATGAAAGCAGAACTTTTCCGGTTGAAGCAGGGTGGTGGGGGAAGGTCAAAGATCTGGCTATGTTAAATGGGAAAGTGGTTAAGTCAGGTGATCCAGCTAAGAGATCTACACACAGATAAAAATATGAAAATAAACAAAGGTGACTCACAGCTCTTAGTGAAATACTCACATACCTTATCCTCTACCTGCCATCTTTGGAACACCCATGAAACTCCATTTTCCATGGGCTAGTTCACGAAAGAATTGCCTATGGGTATGGTTTTTAAAATGGCATTTCAAAAAAATACCTGGCAGTCTACTGGTATAGTAGGGTATGTACTTGTTCAGCACCCGATGGGAGCATAATATTATCCCGAGAAGGAAAAGGCAGAGAAGGAAATGGAAGACATGATGTTAGCCCTCTAGGATTGTGTCCTGAAAGCAGAATTTAAAAACCACTAAGGGGCAGCCCGGGTGGCTCAGCGGTTTAGCGCCGCCTTCAGCCCAGGGCCTGATCCTGGAGACCTGGGATCGAGTCCCACATCAGGCTCCCTGCATGGAGCCTGCTTCTCCCTCTGCCTGTGTCTTTGCCTCTCTTTCTCTCTCTCTGTGTGTCTCTCATGAATAAATAAATAAAATCTTAAAAAAAAAAAAAAACAAACACTAAGTCGGGATGCCTAGGTGGCTCAGTGGTTGGGCATCTGCCTTTGGCTCAGGGCATGATCCCGGGATCGAGTCCCGCGTTGGGCTCCCTGCAAGGAGCCTGCTTCTCCCTCTGCCTGTGTCTCTGGCCCTCTCTGTGTGTCTCTCATGAATAAATAAATAAAATCTTAAAAAAACAAACAAACCCATAAGTCCATCATGAAAAAAATGAACCCAGCCTTCTCCACTAGGGCCTCAAAATTTCTATAAAGTTGTATCTGTCTGTTCCAGGGAGAGGATGCTCTCTGGATGTTTTTTTTTTTTTTTTTTTCTCTGCACTAGGCATGAGGCACAGAGCACTGAGGATGAAACTTCAGAGATTCCAGTCTTGCCTGGGACCAGCTTTGCAGCAGGATCATGCTGCAGAGATGGCACAGAGCTCAGTCACCAGGGAAAGGAGGAGGGAGGAAGAAGCAAAACAGGAGTGCTGCTGAACATTCTAGAAAAAATTATTTTACAAAAATAAATACTAATTCCAAACCTGCACAATAACAGTAGGAATAAAATAATTATCAGAGAACCCTGGGTAGCTTTCTCTTTATTTTTTATTTTACCTTCTGCAACTTCATCCAGTAACACAGTAATTTTCTTGTCTTCTAATAACCTATCTTTTAAAAATTTCATGAAAATTCCATTTGCCAACCCAGAATGCTGGATTTCAAAAGCTTCTGCTCCTTGACACCTTAAACACAGCAAAAAGACAGAAAATTTTTAAAAAGTAAACAGTTGCCACATGGGGCTTATATAAATACTGATGAGCCTCATTTGCTTGCCTCTCTGCCTTTTGAATGACACTCTCATTAAAGAGTTAATCTTTAGGGCACCTGGGTGGCTCAGTGGTTGAGCGGCTGCTTTTGGCTTGGGTCATGATCCTGGGGTCCTGGGATAGGGTCTCACAGGGAGCCCTCTTCTGTCTCTGCCTCTCTCTGTGTCTCTCATGAATAAATAAAATCTTAGGGAAAAAAAGTTAATTTTTAAGCAGGAACTAAATGCTCTGGTGTTTAGTAAAAAGAAGATGCCAAGATACGAGGAGCAAAAGTCAATTACTTAACTCATTTGTCCTATTAAGAATATTAGGGACGAAAATGTATGCTTACATTTCTACAGATATATCTAGGCTTCTAACCTATAATCAAAAGGAAGTCATTGAAAAATGAAGGCATCTTGAACACAAATGCAAAATTTCCTTACGTGGCATATCCAAAGACAATGTTGGCGGTGACTTTTAGTGCATCCAAGATTGGGATGGTATCATCATAGTCGTTTCTATTTAAAAGGGAGGAGGGAGGAGGATAGATACAAATGTGAAAAAAATTAAGCAGCATTTAAAGAGAGCATAAATAATAATATGATGCAAAATCTGAGAATGCTATTCAATTACACATAAATTAAGATTATAGATTCAAAATTCCTATTATCAAATCAGGCACATATTTGCCCCAAATAACCCAGGGCTCCTCTGCTGTTGAGACAGCTGAAGGCCACATCATCCGCTCTCTGGTTTGCTTCAAATCCGGAGTTATATCTAAACTCTGGCACTGGTTTTTGATCGGTAAATGCTGAGCAAGCACAAAACCATATTTCGGAGAGGGATAATCACTGGTTCTATTCCCTAGTAACACGGTGGCCAACAACTGGGACCCAAACCCTTTCTGTATATGCGAGCCCAGGACTGCTAGAGGCCCCAACTCTGTGGGGGCTGCTTCTATCAATTCCTGGAGAAATAAATGCACCAATGACTAGACACATCTGCAGGTGTTCTGAGGTATGAATAAATACCCACACCTTTGAGTTTCTCACTTCTGTTCTCTAACAACTAGGAAAAAAGTTAAAGTAATTAAATACATAGAAAATGTATTTTTCCCTTAGTTTCCTTCTTAGTCGGTTTCAATCTAATTATAAACTCACAAGCTTAAGTGCTCCTTAGAATTCCCAGGTTTGTCTCAGATTTAACTCTCAAGGCTGATATTTACCTAACTCCAGGGAACTTTGTTTAACAAAGATGAGGCAGTTTACCTTTTCCTACACATGTCCAACAAGAACACATTGAGTCCAGTTTCTTTCTCTTGCATCAGTTTCAGTATATTTTGTACACACAGACAGTTTTCAGACCTATATGGATTTGGGGCATCAACAGGGACCATAAAGCTGTTGCCAAAGTTTTCATAACCATGCCCCGCATAATATAATAATCCTGGAAAGGAAAAAAGAAAAGATGTAAAAATTAATTCTAGTTTGCACTCCGAACATGCATGGAGCACTCTTTAGAAAGAAACCTAGACTTTAGTTTTCTTCAGGTTAATGCAAGTTTATTTAAGAGATACTCAATTATAAACACAGTCAATGTTAACTAAGTTTGCACAGAAAATTTTTTTAAAAAGATTTTGTTTATTCATGAGAGACACACACACAGAGGTAGAGACCCAGGCAGAGGGAGAAGCAGGCTCCTCTTGGGGAGCCTGATGTGGGACTCGATCCCAGGACCCCAAGGTCTTGACCTGAGCCAAAGGCAGATGCTCAACCACTGAGCCACCCAGGCATCCTTGCATGGAAAAATACTTTGACAATGGTTTTCAAGACCAACATTGAGATGCTGTTCTAAAGTATATTTTATTTTTTTAAGATTTTATTTATTTATTCATGAGAGACGAGACACAGGCAGAGGAAGAAGCAGGTTCCCTGCAGGAAGCTCCATGTGGGACTCGATCCCAGGAGCCCCGGGATCATGACCTGAGCCAAAGGCAGATGCTCAACCGCTGAGTCCCCCGGGTGACCCCTAAAGTGTATTTTAATTCATAAAAATAACACAATTATAACCAATGGTATAACACAGAATACAATTTTATCTCATGATGTATAAAAACGAAAAAGGCTTAAGACTTCTTTGGTGACTCATTTGTCTCCTCTATGAGACCAGGAGCTCCCCCAGAGCAAGGACAGTATTATCTTTATCTGTGTATTCCTGGGACACAGCAGGAGCTTAGCAAGTTTTAACAGATGAACAAATAAACACAATTCAGATGGATATTGCAATGGCAATATCCAATATAAGAAATTCTGCAGGCACTTCCACATAATGTTAGTAAGGGCTATAAAAATATAAATGTAGCTTTTTCTAAGCAGAGAAGGAAAATCTGATTTCATGGATTATTTTTTCCTTTCTGTTATGAGATATAAATATCATTAATTTTCCATCTAGAGTCTCTTGAATTAATAATCTAAAGTCTGGGTTCTAAAGTATTTCATAGATGAGTCATTATTTCTATACCGAGAAATACTATAAAAACTGCACCAAACAACTCAACATTTTCTTTTTTTTTTCAAGATTTTATTTATTTATTCATGAGAGGCACAGAGAGAGAGAGAGAGAGAGAGAGAGAGAGAGAGAGAGAGGCAGAGGGAGAAGCAGGCCCCATGCAAGGGAGCCCGACGTGGGACTCGATCCCGGGTCTCCAGGATCACACCCTGGGCTGAAGGCGGCGCTAAACCACTGAGCCACCGGGGCTGCCCAACTCAACATTTTCTTAAAAAGAAGTCTGTTTTGGCTGTAAAAACAACAACAACAACAACAACAACAACAACAAAAACACCCAAAATATCAGTATGGGCTTCTTTATAAAAATATCTGACAGAAATACTTGTGAAGACATGTTCCCCTGAGCATGTGGTCTTCAGGGCCCACTAATTTTTTTATCTCGGTATTCTGGATATGATGACTTCTTTCTAGGATATACTCTAATGTCAACAATAAAATGGGATTTAGACAGGGAACAACAGGAAAGCTAATCCTTTGTATCTATAGCCCCAATTCCTAGCAAAGAATGTGGCTCTGAACATTAAGCAACTTGTTTCATTCGGTCCTAGAGGGCAGGACCCAGGTCTACTGTTCTCGAACTCCTACTAAAATGAGAAATAGGTTTTTTTCATATGTCACATTTCAGGTAAAAAAAAAAAAAAAGTCAGAATGGGCACATTCATTTATTCAGGTGGGTTTATTCCACCTCCGTGCCCTGAATGAAATCGTGTATGTGCCGAAAGAAATGCAAAAGAAAAGGAAGACAAAGTTCCTGCCCCAGGGAACTCGCAACTCATTCAGGCCTGCTCGTGCTTGTGCTGTTAGTCAAAAAAACAAAGAAAGTCAGTAAATAATGAAATACCATAAAAATACCATAAATTGTGTGATTAAGGAAACCTTGCACAATTGGAGTAGGTGCAGAGAGGACTCAGGGTGCAGTGACACAGCAATGGGTGGCCCTGAGAGTCAATGGGTACAATGTGGGAAGGCAGAGAAAGAGTGACCTTCATTACAGGCAGGGGGTAAGAGAAACGAGGTGTGGACCTCAAATGACAGCTAATAGCAAGGACACCAGCCTGGCAAAGAATCAAATTATCATTGTAAATGGGAGTAAGAGTGCACTGATTGGAGCATTCTGAAAATCATGACACAGGTATTGGATTTAATTCACTAGACAACAGAGATCAAGTACATGAAAAGATAACCTGAAGAATGAGGGAGAATGTTTGCAAATCACGTATCTAAAAGGACAACTTGTACCTAGAGTATGTACATAAAGAACCCTTCAATTTGACCATTAGAAGGCAAATCCCCAAGTAAAAAATGGGCAAAGGACCTGAATAAACATTTCTCCCAAGAGGATATACAAATGCAAAAAATCACATGAAGAGCAAAACAAAAACGATGAAATACCACTTTACACTTCCTAGGGCGGCTGTAATGAAGACACAGGCAGTAACGAGTGTTGGCAAGGAGGCAGAGAAAGTGGAAACTTCATTTATTTCTGGTGGGAATACATAACAGGGCAAGCACCCTGGAAGGAGGTTAGGCAGTGCCTCAAAAAGTTAAACTTAGAATTATCACATACCCAGCAATTGCAATCCCAGGAATATACACCCAAGAGGCCTGAAAACTTGTGTCCACACAAGACTGTGTACACGAATGTTCAAGGCAGTGTTATTCACAGTATCTACACCATTTAAACAGCCTAGAAGTCCACCTGCTGATGAGAGGAAATGTGATGCGTCCACACAGTGGATGATGACCCAGCCATAATAGTAAAGCAACAACACGGATGAACCTTGAAAACATTTTGCTAAGTGAAAAAAAAAAGTCACAAAAGGACACGTATGGAATGATTCCATTCTATGGAAGGTCTCAAAAAGGCAAATCCATAAAGCTAGAAAGGAGTTGTGTTGTAGCCAGGGGTTTGGGATAAGAAGGAATGAAGAGTGAGTGCGGAGAGACATGGGGATTCTTTCTGGGGTAGGGGAAGAGATCCGGAATTAGGTAACCGATGCACAGCTTTGTAAATATGCGTCCCTCACATACTGGCTTTTACGGACACCCTACAGTTCTATGTATATTTAATTTCTCGGATAAAAATCATAATAGACATTAAGCTTCCAAGCTGGTATAGCTTTTTCATGGTTTTGGAAGCACCTTCATATCCATGAACTGATTTTTGATCCATATAGCAATCTTTAAATGACTTATACCCCTATTTTAGAGATGAGGAAATTATAAAGAGATCAAATGACTTGCTTAAAATCGCATAGCTGATAGGTGTCTGGACTCCCAAAAGGCATTTTTTTCTCATTATATTAAGGGATTTATAATTTTGAGAGTATAGGGACACCTGGGTGGCTCAGCGGTTGAGCGCCTGCCTTCAGCTCAGGGCATGATCCTGGAGTCTTGGGATTGAGGCCTGCACTGGGCTCCCCACAGGGAGTCTGCTTCTCCCTCTGCCTGTGTCTCTGCCTCTCTGTGTGTCTCTCATGAATAAATAAAATCTTTAAAAAATAATTTTGAGAGTATAAATCATGTTCTTTATTTTCTGAATGTCCTTCATTCAACACCTAGCATACTCCTTTATCTGGGCTATAATGTAATAAGGAACATATTTTTTGAATGCATTAAATGAACAGTGCAAACCAATAAGGACAGAGGCGGAGCTAGAGAACTTTCCATAAAGGGTCTGATATGCAACAGAAATTGTACCATTTCTACAAGTGGCTTTCTTACGTAAGCCAGCCAGCCAGGCGGCTCATGGATTGCCTCCATTGCATCTGCATCACGGAATACAACTGTCTGTAGCAAGACTTGTAACTTGGGGGAAGCACCAACTTCAAGGGAAGGTTTGCCCTCCATCAAGCAGGGAAACCTAAGTGTGGTCCATTATTTCAGAGCCATAAATCCCGCTCTGCCATCACTAAGGCACTTAGAACAAAATACCTTTTGTCTACCCCAAAATGACTTATGAAAAACATTTAGCATCAAAGTCTATACCCAAACGACATTGTGGGAGATTAAACATTTTTATGTAAAATAAATTAGATCAAAGCATGGTATTTTAAGGATTGCATGTCTAGTACTGCTTATTAATTGAATCGACTATCCCATCACTCAAGGAGAGGCACAACATAGGCATCTTCATAAGTGACAAAAAACTTCATGTGGTTAGAAATATAATCCTATCAATTAGAACTTTAGGGAATTTGATTTCTTGGGAACATGATTTCCAAGAATATAGTTCATTACAGATATTTCTTCTTGCCTACAGAGAAAATCATTGTTTGGATGGAAGATTGTCCCACTGGAGCTGAACTGCAGCACCTAGCAAGGTGCTGATGAGGACATCCGCCACCGCCACCACCGTCACCGTCACCTACAGAGCTCTTCCTCTGTGCCTGGCACTTTCTGAATAAAGTGCTTGCTTTAATTATATGGTTCTTACCTCCTATAACCCTCATAATATATTTCTCATAAGTAGGTAGATAATATTGTCATCTCCCTTTTACAGATGGAAATACTGAGACACTTAAAGAGGTATAAGAGCTCACATAAATCCACATGACTAACAGGTGACGGAAACAGAATTTGGACGCTGGCCAGATCAACCACTGTGCTCCACTATACTGTCTCTTAATAATCTACTGCTGGTTTCCTTCCTCCTTGCCCTCTCCCTCCCTCTCTCTTTCTTAAAAGATTTTGTTTATTCATGAGAGACACAGAGAGAGAGAGGCAGAGACACAGGCAGAGGGAGAAGCAGGCTCCCCGCAGGGAGCCTGACGTGGGACTCGATCCCAGGACCCTGGGATCACCCCCTGAGCTGAAGGCAGATGCTCAACCACTGAGCCACCCAGGCACCCTACTACTAGCTTTCTAGTTAACTTTATTCTCAGAAAATACAAAAAGTCAGTGTACTGGTTTTTCATGGCTTCACTACACTATCATTTTGAAAACTCCTTCTCCCCCGCCCCCAAATGAAATCTTAGGCTGAATCTTAATAAGTAACAACACGTGAAAGCCGGGTTTCTCTAATTGAGGCCTGCAGTGGAATACTATCTGGTTCAAATCTCCCACCTAAAGATGAAGGAAAACTGGAATTCAGGAAATGGTAACAACAGCCACAATGCTTTTAGTAGGCCAGGCACAGGGATAATTACTTTATCTTCTTTATTCTGCAATCACCTCATCAGGTTAGTCTATCCACTTCAGAAACTCTTGCTTATAAAAGTTAACTCTGTTCTAGTTACACACTGGTCAGCAGAAAAGCCCGAGCGCTGGACATGAACGAGTTTACTTAAGGCCTCCTGCTTCACCACCGAGCTCTGCTGAAACGAACGACTCCCCCAGAGTAAACCAGGCTTTTGCCTTATTCTGAGCAGACTCCTCCAATGTCCTTCTCCAGAAAAGCACAGCTGAGCTGCGGTGAGCAGTGAGTGCAGGAAGGCACCGGTGGGGGAGATACCAGGCCAGTTGCTCCCTATCAGAGCCTTCCACATATGATAACTGGAAATCTTTATCTTCATTTGTCTGCAAGGACATGTAGTAGAAATCAGTTATTCCTGTTCTTAGAGTGTGTTTTCTATGTTTTAAAAGTGAATTGCCTATTTTTTGTTCTGTGGCAATTTTTGTTCCTCTTAAAAACCCACAGGCAACATGACTTAAAAGGGCATAAGCCTGAGTGTGTATGCTTTCCACCTCTAGAGCTGTTCATGCTGAAGCTCCCATGGCTCTGCCCCAGCCTCCTCCACCCCGCAGGATACAGCCATGACCTGGGGCTGCCAACTGGAGGTAAAGACACAGTGCAGGAGGAAGGCCTTCGCCCTCAAGCCTCACCACACTTACATGCTATGCACATGTGCCTGATGTCTGGGGTTCATAATCCTTCAAAGTATAATGCAGCTACCCTGTTGAGACACGAATCAGTAGGACTTAAAAGTCTTCTAGCTTTCTTAAGCTGCTATTTTGCTTTAATATGCTTATGTATTCCATACTCCAAGATGATTTTTTTTAAAGGCTTTTTAAATTTATTTATTCATGAGAGACACAGAGAGAGACACAGGCAGAGGGAGAAGCAGGCTCTAAGCAGGGAGCCCAATGTGGGACTTGATCCCAGGTCTCTAGGATCAGGATGATGTTTTTATACTGGGGCAAAGCCTCAGCATTAGCTAGGCTGTTCTTGACACAGCTTTCTAATATTTTGGATTCTCTACTTTGAAGGGGCATTAAAAGCTTTGATTTAAAGAGCTAGCTAGGCAAAGGGCTTAAAGCTAAGGTGATAGTGTCAATAAGAAATGAGAATAATCAAGTACCCAATTCTTCATGTAATTCCCTCATTCTTAAAATACTTCACCAACCTGGGGCGCCTGGGTGGCTCAGTCAGATAAGTGTCTGACTCTTGGTTTCAGCTCAGGTCATGATCTCAGCATTGTGGGATCGGGCCCTGAATCAGGCTCTGTGCTCAGTGCAGAGTCTGCTTGCAGAGTCTGCTTGAGACTCTCTCCCTCTCTCTCTCTGCCCCTACCTCCACGCTTTCTCTCTCTCTCTCTCAAATAAATAAATAGATCTTTATAAAATACTTCACCAACCTAAACTCTAAGTTGGTTAATATTTTTCCCTTTTGCCTCATTCCTTTCAGTGATGTTTTAGAAGCCTTTTCTTGGTACTTTATAAACGGAGATAAATTATTTGAGAGAAAAAGAATCAAACCACCCTCTTAATCTAGATCAAAAGTATGCACACCCATTGCCAAAAAGGCACATTTGTATAGTCTATGTTTTCACAAGAAAAGTGAATACTCATAAACAAGGTTATGTTATTACTACATCAACATAACTGAAATCCCAAATTTGAGATATTTAGTTGTGTCACAACTGTAATCCTTATTATTTACGAGGAAACTCATTTAAATATTTAAAATTTTAAGACTCCCCATCTCATATACAGTGATATGTTAAATATTGGGGAAAAAAAAGTTTTTCTTCCATTAAAAATTCTCTTTTGAGACCCATTAGCAATTCCACCAAGCTCACCTCATCATAATAGTCTAATCATAAATTAAAGGCTAAATTTAGAAATTATTGAAGTAAAATAATTCGAAAGATATAGGAGCTAAACTGGTACTTTTTGTTTATCACCAGGATGCCTAACAATAGGCCTGCAGGTGCCACTCCTCTTGCAGTCAAATGCCACGGCACGGTATCACAGCGTGCACACCCTGTGAGTTACAGCTCAGACCAGCCAGCCAGCTGGCCTTTCATTTGTGCTTATACCCATTACAAGAAGGAAGTCACCAAAGAAATATACTGACAGCATATTCTGTGTCTTTAAAAAAATCTTTACCATACATGTGGTGTTCTTAATATTTAGATGAGGAATGCGTAAAATGATTACAAATTTACCATTAGAATTTTTGTGGCAGTCTACCTTTAACTATGTTTGTATAGAGCTTTAGTTTACAAATTGTTTTCATATGCTCCATTCACCAACATATCCTTGCTAAATTCTAGCTCCCATTAAAGGACAAGAAAATGCCATGCAATAGTTAGAGAAAGGAATAAAACATATAGAATGTACACTTGATGATCTTTGTCCTACACACACACAGCAGTACTGTACATATATGAGTCCACAATTTGCCATCTGGTCATTGAGCTTCACTGCACTTCAGCTCTTATCAACAAAAAACAAAATCACCTAAAGTAGGAAAGAATTCTAATAAGAACAATATTGTTTTGATAAAACAAGAGACATGAAAGGAAAGACATTGAGCTAAGTAGTTATTCACATGGAACTACAGAATGAAGATCAGATCCATCACTTTTACAAGAATAAAATTCTTCATTGGGATGTGTTTACCATACCCAATCTTTGATTTTTATCTCTTACCATAACTTGTGCAAAGAAGAGTAAGATAATTATAGAAACAAAAATTACAAATATCTTACCATATACTCCTTTGTCTAAAAGTAGTAAAAATTCATCCACGGCACTTCGCATCTCGTATTCAGTAAGATCCAAGAGTGAAACGACTTTGAAATCTAGTTGTCTTAACAAGTTGGTCAATTCATATACATCCACCAAAGGAGCTTTAAGCTTGGGGTGCTCCCAGTAATTCATATTTCCTATCAAAAGAGCAACTTTGTCCTTTGCTGTTAAACAAACAAACAAAAAAAAAAAAAGACGGGGGAGGTGAATGAGAAATTGAGAAGAGGACATAAAGATTAAAACAAAACCTATGGAAATGGCATAATTATAATAAAATGTCTGCTTTACAAATAAGATCTCATTACTATTTAATTTCATTTTGGAACTATCACTTTACAGTACAGAGTAGACCACTTTATATAGTAAACTCTACTGATGAACACAGGCTGATAACTCAAACAACTGAAACCAAACTTAGTGATGCTTTTGAGAACGAGGCAAAGGATATTTATGAGCTGCATATGAAGCATCAGTATGGTAACTAATATTAAATTAATACCTTCATTGAGTTACAACAAAAGTAGAAAATATAATATTCAGCTAGACATTTGGAGCAAATTTTTTTTTTTATTAAAATCCTCTTTTTTTTTTTAAATTTTTATTTATTTATGATAGTTACACAGAGAGAGAGAGAGAGGCAGAGACACAGGCAGAGGGAGAAGCAGGCTCCATGCACCGGGCGCCCGACGTGGGACTCGATCCCGGGTCTCCAGGATCGCGCCCTGGGCCAAAGGCAGGCGCCAAACCGCTGCGCCACCCAGGGATCCCCCATTTGGAGCAAATTTAAACAAGCAACATTAGTAATTGGGTTCCTGTCAATTAGGTTGTTTGGTGACAGTGGAAGAGGCTAAAGAAAAAAGAAATACCAAAAAGAGGAACGGGATGAGTTCTTGTCAGAGCAAGTAAGGGGAAAACCAAAGATGAGAGAAAAGCAGGGACTTAACAAGAACTCTATGTGTATTTTTTCAGTTGATGTGCTGTCTCCTTTTGGCTTCTTAAAAAACAAACAAACAAAGAAAACCTGGTTTGGGTGACCTTAGGGACATGTGAAGACCTTCTGTATGAACATTTTAACAGTTTATTTTCTGACCTTAGTGCAGAGACTTTGTTCAAAGATGTACACTCATCAATCATACAAAGAATTTTTATGTTTTTAAGGGGCAAAAAGATCCACATTTATGCCTTAGAAAGTACCAGCTAGCTTTACCATATATAGCTTGTCCCAAAATGGCGGTAGAAGGCTGGTCTTTAGAACTACACCTTTGCTAGTCTGGGGTGGGGTTAGTGGTTAAAGATCTGAGACCAGGCCACGGCAGTAGTAACCTGTTATGATGTTTTTCTTGAAGACTGGCAGTAGGGGATGGGCAGCCCAGATTATGGTACAAACCATGACAGAGACACAAGGGAACAGCAGAGAAGGTGTAGCAAGAGCATGTGGCAGTACTCAGCCAACTGGCCAAGGAGCCGCCCTGGGTAGGAGTGTGAGCCTTGGACCGACACAGGCGAGGACTAGGTGACCAACCTCTGTCCCTAAATGCTGAATAAAATTATTATGAACACTACTCTTATGAAATTGAAACCAGCACAAATCATCACACTGCTGACTTGATGTCTGCAATAGGGAACAGAATTTCCAAAATTTCAAATCATTAAATGGATTAAAACTTTTGGGGAAACTTCTTTTCTTTCCACAGAACATTTAAGTCTAGTGTTAAGGAAGGTCTGGAGAAAACTAACACCAACTCAAAGAATGGGACTCTCTCAAAGTGAAAGAAAACCCCACTGTGTGAAAAGCCTCAATACTTTTATGTCATGGTATCTTTATTCTATATTTACATTCTTAGGGATTTCTTGCAAGTTGCTTATTCCCATGAATATATGTATTTTAGGAAAATGAAATCATACTTAAGCATTTCTACTTTAGTAAAAGTTACTTCAAGTCCTATATAAATGATAATCCTTTATTCAAAAGAAAAGGTCAATTATCAAGATTATTTAAAACATAAGGATTCAGGGATCCCTGGGTGGCTCAGCGGTTTGGTGCTTGCCTTTGGCCCAGGGCGCGATCCTGGAGTCCCAGGATCAAGTCCCACATCAGGCTCCCTGCACAGAGCCTGCTTCTCCCTCTTCCCGTGTGTGTGTGTGTGTGTGTGTGTGTGTGTCTATGTCTACCATGAATAAAAAAAAAAAAAAGATTCTCTCTCTCTCTCCCCCTCTCCCTCTGCCCCTCCAGCTCACTCACTCAAAAAAATAAAACAAAACAAACAACAACAACAACAAAAAAAACATAAGGATTCAGGGCAGCCCAGGTGGCTCCGCGATTTAGCGCCGCCTTCAGCCCAGGGCCTGATCCTGGAGTCCGGGGATCAAGTCCCATGTCAGGCTCCCTGTGTGGAGCCTGCTTCTCCCTCTGCCTGTGTCTCTGCCTCCCTCTCTTCCTCCCCCCCCCCCCGTATCATAAATAAATAAATAAATAAATAAATAAATAAATAAATAAATAAATCTTAAAAAAAAAAAAAAACCCATAAGGATTCAGACATAGTTTCTACTGAACTGCTTTAGTTCTTAGAATCATTGTAAAAGTTGAGGACACTCAGGATAGATTTCAATAGGAGGCAGTATAAAACTTAACATTAGGGTTTTTTTTAAATTTCTTCTTAAATAAACTAGATCGATACTCTTATACCAAAGTATCCACTATATACCAAAGTACCCAGCAAGACTGTTAGCTGACTAATCCACAGAAAGAAAATTCTCAGTGCATTTTTTTGTTAGCACATTAACCCCCTCAGAATTTAGACCTGTGGATACAGTGACAGACTCAGTGCAATCTACCTCTAACTGTGTGTGTGGGGGCAAGTAAAAGAATATGTGTCTCTGGCTTATACCTTACAGCCCAAATCATGGGTTCCCAAAGTTTTTCAGGTAGTAAAGTATTTGTAAATCCCAGAGGGTTTTTTTTTTTGATGGAATATTATGATAATTTAATTCTATATATGTCCTAGACTAAGTTTTATTGGCAAAAAACAATTATAAGGAATATAACAGGAAAAAAAAAATCACTGGAGTCTGGGGGGTAAAGGACCAGCTATCAAACTAAGTTGTTTTTGCTAATGTCAATTCTTTACTCATGGATTGAGTCATCTATTTAGAAAGAACACTTGGCACAGTTTACAGAAGGCCAGGGTTCAACGATTTAAAAACTACATGGCACAAAATGTATCGGTAGTTGACCATAGCTCTTTAAAAAAATTTTCCCTAATGACTATTTTTAACGGCCAATTCCTAAAATATCTTAATGCATTTTCTTGAGTTTAATGGTAATACAGATGATGGGTAAGTGAATCTTACCTTGCCCAATCTACATGTGAAACAGTTCCTTAGTGACAGGCGAAGTGCGGTGCATTTGGAACAGAGAAGCAGACTGCAGTGGTCAATATAAGAGATGACAAAGACCCATTCCAGGAATTGGTTGTAGAAAAGAAAAGGAAAAGCCAGACTTTAGAGGTACGACAGAGAAAGAAGCAGTAAAATGTGAAGTTAAGGAGATAAGGGTAAGGAATCAAAGACCATTTCAAAATAGCAACTACATAAGCAATTCATGATGGTTTGCAAGTGATAAAATAGATGGAAGAAATCTTCTGAAGAAAAACATTTACTGTAAGAGCCACCCACAACTTCTTGAACATAAACCATTTATTGGAAAAAGGAAACATAAATGCCAGTTGATCAAGCAATAGAGTAATAAAACCACTTCAGAAAGATATTTTAACATGCTCCTAAGGCATCTTCCAAAGCTTAATGCAATGTATTCTTCAAAAACTGGCACAATGTTACAGCACTAATTCCACGTCTAATTATTCTGACAGTGTGTTACTCATCTTGTCTCATCCAAAATAAATAATATTCTTAAGCACCTGGAAAGAACCTGACACAGATTAAGTGCTATTTAGGTATTTGCTAAATAAAAAAATCTTTGGCTATCAAAAATTGAGTATTAGCATCAAATTTGACTGAATATACAGTTCTTGTTGGTTGCACACAATCTTTTAATCTCTGTGTCCTACAGAGTAAAGTCTAAGCCTACTTCCCCAGATGGGGTAAAAGGGAAGACCTCTGAGGAGCCACGCTATCCTTGTCCTCAGGGTACAGAACTGCACCCCAGCCCCCCCACCCTGAATGTGGGCAGCCCCTAATTCTCTCTGAACAACATAATTTGGTGTGAGACTTGCCAGTTCTGGATCTAAACCTTAGGAAGTTTAGAAGATTCACACTTTTGAGACCCAGCCACCATGTAAAGAAATTTAGCTACATGGTAATATCACATGGGGAAGGAGGAGGACAGGGAGGGGAGAGAGTGAAGTAGGCCCACAGTTGTACAACAGGAAAACAGAGGAGCAGAAATCCTGTTTAAAGGGGCAGCCACACTTTAGCACAGCTACCCTCAAAAGCTACCACTTTTCAAAAGAACGTAGAAATCTAAATCTGTTCCCTATGTCTGGAAGGTCCTTCTGTTCATCTTTTTTTAAAACAGTTTTTTTTTTTTTAAATTTTTAAGTAATCTTTACACCCAATATGGGGCTCGAACTCACAACCCTGAGATCAAGAGTCACATGCTCAAAAAAAAGAGTCACATGCTCCACTCACCAAGCCAACCAGGTGCCCCTTTATTCATCCTTTAAAATATAGAACTGCTATTGCAACCTCTCTGCTGCTTCTCCAATCTCTAACTGCACCAAGAGATAGTATTAATCACTTCTGTGTAACATGTGCAGGTTCCTGGTTTACTTATTTGTTTGCTTGCATGTTGCCAAAACAAAGAAATCACCCCACAGAAGTTGACTAGGTCCCAGAAACTGAATTCATAATCTTTTAAAGCTCCCTGTTCTAGAATTTCTTTTACAAATATCCAAAATAAAACATTTGGTCTCAGTGTCATTTAAATATTTAAAATGTCAAATTAAAATATCTTGAATCCCTTCATGATCACCATAAAAGCACTGGAAAGTTGCATTTTGACGAAGCATTTTATTTATTTATTTAAAAAATATTTTTATTTATTTATTTGAGACAGAGAGAAAGCTCATGAGAGGGGCTGGGAGGGGCAGAAGGTGAAGGAGAGAGAGAGAATCTCGAGCAGACTCTGTGAGATCAGGACCTGAGCTAAAACCAAGTTGGATGCCCCTATTTTAACCAAGCATTTTATTTTATTAAGTAGGTTCTATGTCCAGGGTGGAGCCCAACATGAGGCTTGAGCTCATGATCCTGAGACTGAGACCTGAACTAAAATTTAGAGTCAGACACTTAACCAACCAAGCCACCCAGGAGCCCTGTGACCAAGCATTTTAAAGCTGTACTCACCCAAAGGCTGATCAGCTGTTTGCTCTTTATTGTCTACAAAAAGATAAAAATGGAAAAAAGATAAGGTGTTATTGTCCATGATACAAATATCTGCAGGGTTAAAGACCAATGGAAAAAATGAACAATAGCAGCAGCATCAAAAGACAGAATGTGGTTTCTAACAGCTAACTAACAATTTTAATATTTTCAGATTTTTAATTAACACACCTGGACGGACAGAGTTAGAATCAGGGCAGGGGAATGTTTTCAGTAATTAACTACCACAGCTGGGGGCAGTAATCTTTGCTATGCTAGGTAGAAAGTAGTCTGAAAATGGTGGGTGGTGGTAATAAGCAGTGCAGGAATGGTTAGCAGTTACCAAAGGCTTGCCAGGAACTGTTCTATGTGCTTTAAATAAAATGGATTTAAATAAGCTTCACCCTGTCTAAGATACATACTTCCTCCATTATATACATAAGGAATCTGAGGCACAGAGAGATTGAGTGAGTCACTTGCTCAAAGTAATTGAACTAGTAAGCCTCACTCCACAGTCTGCGCACTTTGCCATCTATATACATAGAATAAGAAACCTCCCACCCCAAGGACCATGCAGGGAAAGATGGGAGTTGAGTCAGTAATGTGTCCATTATTATAGATAGGGTAATTCTGTTTTTTTTGTGTGTGTTTTAGATTTTATTTATTTATTTGACAGAGGTAGAGAGTGAGCCCAAGCAGGGGGAGTGGCAGGCAGCGGGAGAGGGAGAAGCAGGTTCCTTGCTGAGCAGGGAGCCTGAGGAGGGACTCGATCCCAGGACCCTGAGATCATGACCTGAGCTGAAGGCAGACAACCAACTGACTGAGCCTCCAAGGTGTCCCTGTGTCAGTCTCTTAATGGTCCACGACCCTCTATTTCTCCCCACTCACACATCTTTTACTTCAGATAAAGATACTCCATTAACTGCCTTTTTATGACCTAGAGTCATACACAATGATAAAAATATACGTTGATATATTCTGCTGCTGTATACTTTTCTGTCGTCTTACAATCTAGAATGTTTAATATTTTACTTGCATGAAATTATCCTTCACGTAAGTATTAATTTCAATCCTAAACTGTATTATTTTAATAAAGGAAAAAATTACTAAGACTGCTATAGCAAAAGATTATCTAGTTATTGTATTCAAGCTAATGTTTTATGTTTATATTACTCACCAGGATGTCCAAGATTATCTAATTCATCTAAAATGAAGAGAAAATAGACCAGTTTTATATAATCGAACCACCAATTTAGCATAAGTTGTAAGACTAATCAGAGAAGTAGGTTTCAAGCTATTAAATTATGTTGTAATATTTCATTAGTTTAGAACTTTTCAAGTGCCTTCAGGGAGAAGCCATGCAACTACTAAGCGTGAGAGAATGTTACTGTTGATACATGTAGGACTTCTGAGCTATTGCTACTTTCGTTAAATGACAAAAAGCAGAACAGACTCATTCATCATTTGTTCAAAGTTTTAGATATTCTGGCCTTTTTTTTTTTTTTTTTAATTTATGATAGGCACACAGTGAGAGAGAGAGAGAGAGGCAGAGACATAGGCAGAGGGAGAAGCAGGCTCCATGCACCGGGAGCCCGACATGGGATTCGATCCCGGGTCTCCAGGATCGCGCCCTGGGCCAAAGGCAGGCGCCAAACGGCTGCGCCACCCAGGGATCCCTATTCTGGCCTTTTGAGACAAAAACAGTCAAGGGACAGACAGGTCTTTGGCCTCAATCGAAAACTCTGTGAAACTAGGAAACAATTTCAAATGATTTTTTCTAGTAAACTTTTAATTTTGGAATTGTTTAGAAGAGTTTGAGATGTGAAACGAGTAAAGAAGAGTTCCCGTATACATTCATAGCTTGCCTCCCTATTTTAACATCTTATGTTTAGTAAGGTGTATTTGTCACAATAAATGACTCATGTCCTTTTTTCCCCCTGGGACCTCATTCAGGACGCCACATTACATTTTCTTTTTTTTTTTTTTTTAATTTTTTTTAATTTTTATTTATTTATGATAGTCAGAGAGAGAGAGAGGCAGAGACATAGGCAGAGGGAGAAGCAGGATCCATGCACCGGGAGCCCGATGTGGGACTCGATCCCGGGTCTCCAGGATTGCGCCCTGGGCCAAAGGCAGGCGCCAAACCGCTGCGCCACCCAGGGATCCCCACATTACATTTTCTTATGTCTCCTTAGGCTCTTTGTTTTGAGTGTCTTAGGCTTTCCCTTTTTTTAAAAAAAAATATTTTATTTATTTATTCATGAGAGACACAGAGAGAGAGAGGGAGAAAGGCAGAGACACAGGCAGAGAGAGAAGCAGGCTCCATACAAGGAGCCCAATGTGGGACTCGATCCTGGGAATCTGGGATCAGGCCCTGAGTCAAAGGCAGATGCTCAACTGCTGAGCCACCCAGGCATCCCTAGGTTTTCCCTGTTTTTGATGGTCTTGACAGTTGTGAAGATTACTGGTGAGGTACTTTGTGGAATGTCTCTCAATTTGGATTAGCTGATGTTTTCCTCGTGCTTAGACGGGTATAATGTGTTTTGGAGGTACAGTGGTTTCAGGATTATTAACCTGTCTGTACTCTCTGGTGAAAGGACAGATACAATCATTTAAGCAAATACCCATGACATTACAGCCATCTATTTTTCCTTTGCAAATCTTATGAAGATGCAAATTAGCATTAGCAATAAATTACAAATGTTACACTGTTCATAAGAGTCACAGAGGAATTTAACTCTTATCTATAACGTAAAACCCATGAAAGAGTATCAACAACTAGAGTACAAGGCTCTGTACAATTTCTTTTGTCTCTTGTCTTAGAGACTTCATTCATTTCTAGTTACTGAGGTCGGCACCTTGTTCCTCCTTCCCCTCTTCACTGAGGTTGCTGCATACATTTGTAACGCATTTAGATTCTTTGGTCATATTCTTCATTCCATTCTGGGATTCCCCCTCCCCTGACCTCCCACTAAATGATTTAAAAAACTTGCATACATGTATTCACCATTACAATGATCAGACTTGTTTCACTGCCCTAAAAAAAAATCCCCTGACTTCACTTATTCAATCCCCATCTTTTGTCCTGATCGACTACCTTTAATAAAATACATAAAGTGAAATAAGTGATATCATGTTCTGCGGTTAAAAAAAAAAAGATACGATGTAGGATACTGTTAAGGGTATGTGTCAATCCATCAATTATAAAACATCTCAACCTTCACACTTTTTTTCAAAAGAAAAGTTGGATCTAATTCTCCCATTTGAAGTTTCTGAAGTGGTTCCATAGTTGGATCTTCATCTCGAAGTGTGCTGATAGGTTTATGTGAAAATGAGAATTTGACTGTGTTTGCTACTGTAAAAACTATAGAGATGATCATACAGGGAAAGAAACAGCACAGCAAAGGTGGTAATTTCCATGTAATACCTCGAAGCCAAACAGCAGTGCCACTTTATATCTGTTCTTAGAGATATCCAACTTTGGAAAAGTTTAGAAATCATGCAATTAGGCAAAAAGAAGTAAGAAAATGAAGAAGAGTTTTTGAAGATTTCTTCATATGCTTCCCTCGTGTAAGGCCTCTATAGACAACAGGACTGGAATCCCCCTCATGCTAGAGAACTCCTGTTCAAACGTATGCATTAGGACGAACATAGTAATTACAGCATTTCAGTGTGACACCACAGAGATATGAAAGGCAGGAAAACCCAGGAAATACAAGATTCAACTTTTTTTTTTCACTTTACCCAAGTAGACCCCAAGATTATACAATAGTTTAAAGAAGCAGACATTGAAAAAATACTTTGCTATCTGCAAACAAAATTCTGTAAAACAATGTGATGTACTAAGAGAAGGTAACGTAAGTATTAAAATGTACTCGTTAGAACTTCTGTACAATGCTTTGCATAACTAAAACAAATTTAAAAGTTTATGTTGAAACAGATTTCCCAGTTGTCTCTCTATATATTATGGTAAAGATGACATAGTAGATTAATGTACAGACTTGGAGTTTCAAAAAATGGATCTTACCAATTTTATATTGAATTAGAAATATTAGATATTTGATAAGACATGTGTTCAACAGGAAATTGCCTGTCCTGAAACTGACACGGAAGCCACATGCGCATCTGAGCAGCTGATAATCATGGCTAAAAGGATGGCCAAAATCATTTAAACCATTATCCATGGTAGTATGCCACCAGTCTTTGAACAAATTTCAAATTAAAGTTGAGCAAATTACTAAAAATTAGTTTGTAATTTTGTAAAAATTAACATTAAGAATTAACTGCAAATGCTCCCTATTCATATGATGTGCAGAAACACTATTCTTACGTGCCGTAGAAAATCAATGGAAAATTAGTTACTTTAAGTGTGTCAGTTTAACAGTGTCCCTGGCAATTTACAAAACCCTGAGACTCCCGTGAAATTTCACCCTTCTTAGAGCTAGTATTTTTTCCATGACTGCGCGCGCAGGCTAGAGCACTCCACCAAACCCCAGAGGAACCAGCATGCAGGATACGTGCTTTCAAACCAAAGGATTACTCTACCTTCAGTGCACTCCACTGCCTCATCTGCTCTTCCTTGTATCAGAGAAAACAGATGTGAATATACTGTAATTCATGATCTTAGGAAGGGCGGCCATCAGGTAGACAGAGAAACAAATATCACAGAACTATGTTGCATACCAACACATGCTGCAACTCTCCTACTGGTGACAACCTAAGTATAAATGCATTAAGCTTCAACAGCGCAAACTACCACATTACGAACTTCATAATGGGGGCTGTTGGTTAACAATCATTCTTTCCTCTCTATGCCTGGGATGCCTGGTTCTTAAAATGTTTTATTAAACATCTTTTCCCATTTAAACCAGATTTCTTATAACTAAAGTTTTAAAGAATACTTTTTTTGGCCACAAATGTTTATGATTGTGAATTTATGTATTCTGTTTCCGTATAAACAATATAACTGAATACTTAACCCCCCATTAAATAGAATGGGGTAGAGAATTTCCATTGCTTCAATGTTTCATCTTGCATAACTTATATCCATTTGTCAGAACACTGAGTAAGAGTGCTTACCTATGATGATTTCCACCTTCTTGCTATCCTGACTGTCTCGATCATTATATACATGACACCAATAGATTCCCTGATGTTCCAGATCCACATAAGGCACCTATTAGCAATATCAGAACACATACACACACACATTTTCTTTCAATTTAATTGGCTTGGAGAAGTTGTTTTGAATTAGGAAAAAAAACCTAGAACATTTCAGAGGACTTTAGGCATTTCTTAGATTATATCTATATCTTATGTTAAATATAAGCAGGCAAATGATACAAAGATTCCAATCATGGTAAGCGAGTGCTCGCTTCGGCAGCACATATACCAATCATGGTAAGCGAGGTGTAGTACTATTGGACATTTTAAGGTTTTTATTTTTAGAGTAATCTCTATACTCAGCATGGGGCTTGAATTTAAAACCCCACAATGAAGAGCTGTATGCTCCATCAACTGAGCCAGCCAGGTGCCCCTATACGACATTTTAGAATAAGCCCTTAGATATGGGCTGGTGCTATGTTACAGCACTTTTGTAAATATAAAAGTGAATTAATACTGAGTAACAAGGAAAACATTAAGACACCCTGATGAATATGAACTTTAATGTTTGTCTTAATTTTCAATTATACTATTTTACATGTCAACACAGAAAACCCCCAAATTACCAACTTCTTACCATGTATAGCTTTTTCGTCTCATGTATTAATGGTGACTCATTTTTGAACCACTGGTAGTGAGGAATAGGGCTTCCAACAGCAACACACTGTAAGACCAATGTACTGCCAAGCATTAGCCTTTGGGACCTTGGTTCGACACAGATTTGCAACTTGGATTCAGAGATGCCATCTGAACTTCCTTAAATTAAAAGAAAAACATTACCGAACATAAATAAAACCTCTAGGTTAATAATAAAATTGTTTTCCCCTTTACTAAAAAAAAACAAAAGTGTTTTTAAGTTAATTTTTAAAGATCTTTTTTTATTTTTTATTTTTATTTTATTTTATTTTTTTTAAATTTTTTTTATTTATTTATTTACAATAGTCATACAGAGAGAGAGAGAGAGAGGCAGAGACACAGGCAGAGGGAGAAGCAGGCTCCATGCACCGGGAGCCCGATGTGGGATTCGATCCCGGGTCTCCAGGATCGCGCCCTGGGCCAAAGGCAGGCGCCAAACCGCTGCGCCACCCAGGGATCCCTTTAATGATCTTTAAAATACCTCCCAAAACTATGTTGCATAAAGCCGTGGCACTTTTGAGAGATGTTCTGTGGATAAAAGGATGCTGAACACAAATACATTTCGAAAATCCCGGGTTAAACAGAGTTAAACAGATTTTTTTTGGCAAGGCTTCTCAGAGCCTTTTTTAAGGACTTCTCAGAGCTTTAAGTGTTCGTATGCTTTGTTTATTAATTAATTACTATTTTAAAAATATTATATTTATTTATTCATGAGAGATGCACACGGGGGGGGGGGGGGGGGAGGACAGAGACACAGGCAGAGGGAGAAGCAGACTCCAAGCAGGGAGCCCAATGTGGGACTCGATCCCAGGTCTCCAGGATCAGGCCCTGGGTTGAAGGCAGTGCTAAATCCCTGAGCCACCCGGGCTGCCTGCTTTGTACATTTAAAAGAGCAAAGTGGCTCAGTCAGTTAAGTATCTGCCTTCAGCTCAGGTCATGATCTCAGGGTCTGGGGTTCGAGTCCTACACCGGGTTCCCTGCTCAGTGGGGAGCCTGCTTCTCCCTCTCCCTCTGCCCCTCCTCTTTCTCTCTCAAATAAATAAATAAAATCTTTAAAAAAATAAAAAGGCAAAATAGTTCAAGTGGTTTCCACATGTGTTTGGTTATAGATTCTTTCTGGTGAGGGCAAACAACTTATTAACATCTTGAGTGATATTCACACTCAACACAGAAAGTTCTATATTCTACTGTTTAACTTATTAAAAAGAGTTTTGGGGGAGGCCTGGGTGGCTCAGCTGGTTGAGCGTCTGTCTTCGGCTCAGATCATGGTCCCAGGGTCCTGGGATCCAGCCCTGAATCAGCATCAAGGCTCCCTGCTTGGCGGGGAGCCTGCTTCTCCCTCTCCCTCTGCCCCTCCCCCTGCTTGTGCTCTCTTGCATGCTGTAAAATAAATAAACAAAATCTTAAATAAATAAATAAAGTTTTGTTATTAGCATGGAATAAATATGGATGCATTATCACTAGCATTTCTTCCTGAAACAGATATCAGAAAGCATTATTACTATTATTTTTCTAAAGATTTATTTATTTTAGAGAAAGAGAGCAATGTGCATGTGTGTGTAGGAGGGGCAGAGGGAGAGAGAGAATCTTAACTAGCATGGAGCCCACGGAGGGCTCGATCTCATGACCCTGATTATCATGGCCTGAGCCGAAATCAAGAGTCCAGTGCTTAACTGAGCCACCCAAGTGCCCTCAGAAAGCATTATTTATTGAACACTCACATGTTGCTATAAGGTTCTTGAGGAAGGAGGACTTGTTAGTGTTAACGCAATACCAAGTCTCCATCATGAAACTCAGGGTCTTACACACTGCAAGTGATTGGTCTTTGCTGAATGAACAGGATTTTTTAAAAAAGATTTTATTTATTTATTCATGAGAGACAGAGAGAGAGAGGCAGAGACACAGGCAGAGGGAGAAGCAGGCTCCATGCAGGGAGCCTGACGTGGGACTCGATCCCAGGACTCCAGGATCACACCCTGGGCCAAAGGCAGACGCTCAACTGCTGAGCCACCAGGTGTTCCAATGAACAGGTTTCATTTATAAACATACTAAAGTTCATTACATGCATGGAAAAATTCTAGAAAGATACAAATAATTCCTTTAAATTAATCATGACTATTTTTAGAGATTATTTATTTAGGTGTAGGAAAAGCTAAATTTGAGAGCGAAGAATATAGAAGATAGACTGGTAACAAAAAGTCTGTTTCCCACCTACTCTTTTCGTCTGGCAAAATGACAAAGAATATGATTCTTGACTGTGAATGTGAATACAGAAAATACCATCTGCTGACTACTCTTTAGAATAGGCGGATTTTTAAATTTTTCTTTATTTTTTACAAGATTTTATTTATTTATTCATGAGAAACACACGAGAGAGAGAGAGAGAGAGAGAGAGAGAGAGAGAAAGGCAGAGACACAGGTAGAGAGAGAAGCAGGCTCCATGCAGGGAGCCTGATGTGGGACTCGATCCCCACAGGATTCCCCACAGGATGAGGCCCTTGCCTGAGGTGGTGCTAAACCACCGAGCCACTTGGGCTGCCCCAGGCAGATTTTTTAAATCAGTACTAGTTACTGAAAAAGGCTGGATGACAGAGAATAGAAAATCTGATGAAATGCTTTACTGCAGGGAATGATATGTTACTTGCCCTTTCATGCCAACAGCAACTCTAAAGGTTTTTTTAAAAAATTTTTTTTTTAATTTTTATTTATTTATGATAGTCACAGAGAGAGAGAGGCAGAGACACAGGCAGAGGGAGAAGCAGGCTCCATGCACCGGGAGCCCGATGTGGGATTCAATCCCGGATCTCCAGGATCGCGCCCTGGGCCAAAGGCAGGCGCCAAACCGCTGCGCCACCCAGGGATCCCAACTCTAAAGGTTTTATTCCAAAATGCGATTCTGTAATATAACAGTTTGGGAGGAAGATATAGAGTGTAGAAAGAAAGAAGAGGAATGTTTGCAGGGGCCAGCAGCAGGGCCAGTCGAAGGCATCTGCTTGTCTATATGTCCACAGAGAAGGGATTAAAACGCATGGGCTAAAGTGTGAGCAACTGGTGACCTTCTGCTGGTGGTAAGTATGTACCTGAGCTGCCAATACTGTTTGTGATACTGTGAAACTAAAGTAAACGTTCGAAATAAAATAAGGCAATTTCCATCCCAGTATTCAACTTCATTTATCACTTACCCTGGAAGCTTCCTGTTACTTCTGTGACATCACAAACATCCAGCTGTGACCACTGGCTGAATTCAAAGGTGAAATTATTATTAACTCGACAGACATAAAAGCCTGCATCTTTTACATGTACTGTGTTAAAAATGAGTTCTGATGCATTTCCGTTCGGAATCTGTGAAAGAATCAGTAAGAGAATGTAAATGAATGATTCATCAAAACATTACCTTAGAGAAATGTGCCATGCAAAAAAATGTGTTGACTTCTTTGGAGCTGTCAAAAGCATACTTTTTCCCAAGTTCTAAAATATTTTTGCTTAAAAAAACAAACATTTTGAATGATTTAAGACTAAAGTCTTAGAAATCCACACTCTTTTACGAATCCATTAAGTAGAGAGTTAAGCTCTCTCCCATTGATCTTCCAAAACCTAACAGAAAGTATCTGTCTGTCATTTAAAACTATTCACATCTTAGTATTTAAAGAACCTACAATAGCAAATTTATAAGTAACACAGAAAAGTTAGGCTTGGCTATTAATTTCAGTTCTGGTCAAATTAGCTGTGAGTACATAAGCAAGTTATTTCACTTTGGGACCCTACTTTTTCAGCTGCAAAATTCTGTAAGAGGATAGACCCCTTAACCACTACTCTTCTTTCAGGGTCTGGGCTGAGTAGGGCTATGGAAAGCATGTCAGAAGACTACTTGTAGGGCAGCCCAGGTGGCTCAATGGTTAAGCACTGCCTTCAGCCCAGGGCGTGATCCTGGGGTCTTGGGATCGAGTTCCACATCGGGCTCCCTGCATGGAGTCTGCTTCTCCCTCTGCCTGTGTCTCTGCCTCTCTCTCTCTCTCTCTCTCTGTGTGTCTATCATGAATAAATAAATAAAATCTTAAAAAAAAAAAAAGAACACTACTTGTACCTGCATGAATAAATGTGGTCAAGTATGGGAAAGAATGGCCACCCAAGAGTTTCCCAAGGTCTTCCCCAGGGCTCTGGTCACCACATTGATTTCTTTCTGCTTTGCTGCTCTCATCAATCTATAAGTGCCATTCACTTCCAGCACATTGCCAAGAGGCTCAGTTGAGTGCCTTGTTATAGTACATTAGCTCCCTTTCAAAAGTACCCCCCTTCAAGTCCCAACCAACGGAATTCAACTCTTGCCCCCTCAGAACCTGCACCAGAGGAAGAGCATTTTGCTGAAGATTTGACAACTTGGATGGCAGGCTGCACCCGGCACCGTGTTAATGTACTAAGTCTGCTTTCCTACTAGACTATTAATGCATACTTTCTCTCTCTCAAACCTTCTACAATCCTGCCACCGACTTCAGATAGAAACTCTCCCCTTCCTGCCACCTAATCACAAAGCGATCTATGTATCTCTTCATAACTGCTCTCTTCTCTCTGGTTAAAACAGAAAACACATCTTCCTAGCAAAGGCTACTTGGGCTTAGGATCTGTGGGGATCCACTCAGAACCCCAGAAGGTATGCAGCCTCATTCAAGCTGCAGACATTTGGGATGAACAGGTCCAAAACGCAGCTTACACAGAGATCCCCTTATCTAACTAAAAGTAGACACTTCTGGGAAATGAGGCTACCATAAATTCCTTCTTCAGGTGGCTTTACTCAGGAAGGAGATGGAGAAAAAAACCTACCACAAACCCCCCTCCAGGAGAGTTTTATGGTCATGATAAAGATGAGAAGACCACTTATACCTGCATAAGGGCAAACTTCCTTATCTCCTGTTTATTCTTCTAGAAATTTCCTTGTAGTTCTTAAAGAAACCCATTTGTTCCTCTCTCAGAAGTCTTTCTCCCTCCTCCCTTTTCCCTACTGAATCAGGTATGTGAGGCTCTAACTTTAACCATTTATGGAGCTACCTCCTTTGTAAGTTCCCAAAGGGATAAACTTTTTCTCTTGTTAATCTGTACTTTGTCATTTAATTCACAAGCACCCAGAGACTGAACAGAAAAGGGCAGAGGGAAGACACCTGGATGGCTCAGTGGTTGAGCATCTGCCTTGGGCTCAGGGCATCATCCCAGGGTCCTGGGATTGAGTCCCACATTGGGCTCCCCGCAGGGAGCCTGCTTCTCCCTCTGCCTGTGTCTCTGCCTCTCTCTCTCTGTCTCTCATGAATAAATGAATAAAATCTCAAAAAAAGGGGGGGGGGCAGAGGGAAACTTTTTCTTTCCTGCCAATCCCACTCACTCTGACCTTGCTCCTGCCTTTTTCTCTCTACTTTACCATCTACTTCGTTTATTGTATCACTCTTGAAAACATACCCTAGGGCTTTTTATCTTAAATAAGTAAAAAATCCCAAACAAATCTCCCTTGACCCACACTCCCCCCCTTCAGCAGCACTGAATGCTAACTACATCTTTCTTCTTTTTTCTTTTTTTTAAATATTTTATTTATTTATTCATGGGGGGCAGGGGAAGAGACACAAGCAGAAAGAGAAGCAGGCTCCTCACCAGGAGCCTGATGGGGGACTCATTCCAGGACCCTGGGATCACGACCTGAGCCAAAGGCAGATGCTCAACTGCTGAACCACCCATGTGCTCCTCTACCTTTTTTTTTCTTGAAATAATTTCCCTTTTAGGCTTCATACCATCTTTTGCTGGATTTCCTCCCATCTCTCTTTTAGGCTCTTAGTCTCTTTACTGGTTGGTCTTCTGTAACATAAACTTTCATTGACTCCAGATATCCAAACTGCCTAGATGATTCACGTACATGTCTAACAGGTGCTTTGAACTTAATGCACCTAAAACCAAATCCTTGATTTACCTCCTTAAATCCATTTCTTTCCCAATCTTCAATACCTTGGTATATAACACGACCCCAGATGCTTCAAGTAAAAAATCCAAGGGTCACCCTTGATCTCTTTCCCTTTTTCTTCACGTTCCACCTCTAACCTATCAGGTGTGGAAAACTCTCCCTCTAACATAACCTGACCTGGGCACTCTGCTCCCTCTCCATTGCCCTACTCTGGTCCACACTGTCATTCTTGACAGTCTAGTACAGGCATTAGCTAACTGGTCTTTCTGCTTTTCCTTTGCTTCCCTTCAAGCAGCAGCATTGTGTTTTAAAAACACAAATTCTATCGTGTTACTTTCTCCTGCTTAAGACAGTGGCTTCTCATTTTAGATCACCCTGATGTTCCTCATAGTTCTTAACTCAAAGAATTCTGTTATTTATTTACTGTTGCTCCCCACCGAGGGAGGCAGGACCCTGTGTGTCAGCACTTCGTCATCACAGCCTTAGATCATGGCCTGGCACAAAACAGGTGCTCGCTAAATACTTCTTAAATGAGTATCCCTTAAAATAACCCCATGACCATAAAAGTAGTTTGACAAAATTCAACCTTGTGAGGGCTTTAAAATCTATTACAACTCTTCGAATTGAAGAAGTACTGCCCCCTGCCTACATTTTTACCTTTGTCAAGTCAGGGCTTACTTTACAAAAGACATGCTTTTTTTTTTTTTTTTTTTTACTGGACTTTTAAAATTTTATTTGTTTTTATAAATTTATTTTTTATTGGTGTTCAATTTGCCAACATATAGAATAACACGCAGTGCTCATCCCATCATGTGCCCCCATCAGTGCCCATAACCCACCCACCCCCACCCCCTGCTCACCTCCCCCTCCACCATCCCTAGTTCTTTTCCAGAGTTACGAGTCTCTCATGTTCTGTCTCCCTTTCTGACACTTCCCACTCATTTTCTCTCCCTTCCCCTTTATTCCCTTTCACTGTTTTTTATATTCCCCAAATGAATGAGACCATATAATGTTTGTCCTTCTCCGATTGGCTTATTTCACTCAGCATAATACCCTCCAGTTCCATCCATGTCAAAGCAAATGGTGGGTATTTGTCGTTTCTAATGGCTGAGGAATATTCCATTGTATAAGACATGCTTAATATAGCAAGCTTTATCTATTGTTTCTCCCTCAAAAAGCATTTATTAAGATAAAAGCAACTTTGCAATTGAGAAGATGTTACAGATAACTTTAGTTACCATCTCTTGAAAGCCTAGGTACGTGAAATGCCCTATTAAATTCTCATACCCCTGGAGGATAGAAATTCATGTCACTAATAATGACACTCAGGGTTCCAACCCAGGCCTGTCTAGCACCAAAGCCTACGCGCAATCTTTTACTGCAGGTCAGCCGCCCTACCTCACCTGTGTGTAAGGGATGGAAATAGGAAATTGTATAAAACCACACATTTCTTCTAAGGCACAGGATCAATTCCACTAAAGGAAAGATCATAATCTTAGAATAGCCCTTTAACTTAGTTTCAGGTTTGCAAATGTAGACCTAGCACTGCATTTGGAAGAAAGCTTAGTTATTTGACTAATAGGTTGAAAAGAATATGGAGTTTCAAGGTACAATCTAGGATGGCAGGGGGAGAGGGGAGGTGGAGAAGGGGAATAGAGGACCCTACCAAAGTGAGACACAACCTGGGCGAGCCAGAGCAGTGGGACATGCCCAGTGGCAGAGCGGCTCAAAGAACTTTTAAGAAAAAAGAATTCCAATGTGTGATTTTGCATTACTTGCTGGGGAGCGCAGGAATACAATATTTCTACAGGAGGAATAATGCTCCTCTCTCCTAGCTGGAATTTGACTTCAGAATCTACCATAATAGCCTACATTTTTTTTTTTTTAAGATTTTATTTATTTACTCATGAGAGGCACAGAGAGAGAGGCAGAGACACAGGCAGAGGGAGAAGCAGGCTCCATGCAGGGAGCCCGATGCGGGACTTGATCCCAGGACCCTGGGACCATGACCTGAGCCAAAGGCAGATGCTCAACCACTGAGCCACCCAAGTGCTCCTAGCCTAAATCTTTTGATATAATAGTTACATGGAATGTTTAGAATAATCCTCTATTTGCCTTCCATGTCATCTTAAAAATACCTCGATTAAAGATTTTGATTGCCTTTTTTTCAGGTGGTCAGGAAGATGGTGGACATTTAGACTGAGCATGCCTACCCAAAGGAGCCAAATCAGCTTTCAAAATAAGAAGAGGGATTGCTGGAGAAACTGGCAAAAAGACGCCCCTACAGTACCATCAAAACTTTGGTCTGGGTTTCAAGATGCCCAAGGAGGCCACTGAGGGTCCTAAAACAACAAGAAATGCCCCTTTATAGGTAATGTCTTCATCAGAGGGCAGACTGAATCTGGTGTGGTGATCGGGTGAAGATGCAGAGACCACTATCATCCACCGGGTCTTCCTCCACCACATCTGAAAGTACAACCACTCTGAGAAACACCGTAAGAACACATCTGTGCACCTGTCCCCCTGCTGCAGGGACGGCCAGATTGGGAATATAGTCACAGTGGGCAGGTGCTGGCCTTTCAGCAAGACTCTGTTTCCATGTGCTCAAAGTCACAAAGACTGTTGGCACCAAGAAGCAATTCCAGAAGTTCTGAGGTTAGACGTCTACCCACACCGCCAAAGAAAATAAAGTTATTTAAAAAATAATTTAGTTGGAACATAACTTGTTGTAAGGAATTCTCTATGGCATGTTAGAATGTACTGGTGATAATTACTATTTTTAAGATTGTTGTTCCAAGTAATCCTAATTTTCTACAATTTTTAAAGTCTTGAGAATTGATTTTATTATTGCTTACCATCTTTTATTTTATTTCTTTAAAGATTTTATGTATTTCTTCATGAGAGAGGCTGAGACACAGAGGAAGAAGCAGGCTCCTTGCGGGCAGCCCGAGGAGGAACTCGATCCCAGGACCGCGGGATCATGACCCAAGCCAAAGGCAGATGCTCAACCACTGAGCCAACCGGCATCTCTCCGCTTACCATTTTAAAAAAAGATTTTATTTTTTTGAGAGAGAGAGAGGGAGCATGAGTGTGTGCACATGAGCAGAGAGAGAGGGAGAAGCAGACTTTCTGCTGAGTGCAGAGTGCAATGGATGTGGGGCTCCATCCCTGGACCCTTGGATCATGAAATGAGCCGCAAGCAGATGCGTAACAGACTGAGTCACCCAGGTGCCCTGCTCACCATTTTTTTTATAAGCCAACTTTTGGAATTGTCTTACCAAAATAATGATTATTGTCTACTTCAGTAATACCACAGCCAGGTCTATCAGAGCAAAATTCCAAAAAACACACTGAGGATAATGACGTTAAATAATTTGCTATCATTCTCTCTTCTTATGACAGAGGAAGTAAAATACACTTAAAAACTTACCTCTTTATTCATTTTAAACCACTGATACTGTACAAAGGGATGTCCAGTTGCCCGGCAACATAGTTTCACAAACTGTCCAGCCAAGACTGCCTTTGATTCTGGGTTGACAGTGATCTTTATTCCTTTAATAAAAAAAAAAAAAAAAAAAAGTAAAATTAAGTCACAGAAGAGAGGTTTTCCTTGTTTATATTTCTGAAACAAACAAAAAAAAAAGTATTTTGGAAATAACCTGTATATTCATCCTAGTTGTAAACTGCCCATTCATATCTCCTTCCCCATCAGATTGTGCATCTGTGAGTTCCAGGCTTTGTAAAAACAAGAGGAAAGAAACTCATCCACAGAAGACTTTGATCTACTGTACTTCCCATAACTGGGGGAGAAAATTGTTAGCCATATTTATACAATTCTTAGAAATATTTTTTTCATGTTCTAACACCTCTGAAATCAGGATGCACTTTACTTATTTATTTTTTAGATTTTACTTATTTATTTGACAGAGAGATAGAGCATGCGAGCAGAAGCAGGGGGAGGGGCAGAGGGAGAGGAAGAAGCAGGTTCCACGCAGGGCAGGGAGCCCGACAGGGGGCTTAATCTCAGGACCCTGGGATCATGATCTGAGCTGAAGGCAGACACTGAACCGACTGAGACCCCCAGGCGCCCCCTAGACGCCCCCCAGAATGCACTTTATAAGAGATGCCTGCTAGACAAGTCATGATGCAGTTCTCAGTGCCAACTCTTCATATACTTGGTCCTAAATGTTCATACAGCTGGAACTTCAGTTGAGTTAGGTGCACTGTTCTAGGTATTGACTAATGAAAACATCTTCAAAATATATTTAATTTCAATGCTATGATTTAGCTTTTTTTTTTAATGATTTAGCATTAAAATAAAAATTAGGAATGCCTGAGTGGCTCAGTGTTTGAGTGTCTGCCTTTGCCCAGGGCGTGATCCCAGAGTTCCAGGATCGAGTCCCACATGGGGCTCCCCGCATGGAGTCTGCTTCTCCCTCTGCCTGTGTCTCTGCCTCTCTCTCTCTCTGTATCTCTCATGAATAAATAAAATCTAAAAAAAAAAAAAAAAGAAAATTATTCTGTATGCAGAAAGGCATGGAAACAGAACAGCAGGATAAATCTGACACGTGATAACACACATTTCTCATCTGAGGAATGACTATCAGCATCAAAACTTGGACAGCTTTAGGGACACCTGGGTAGCTCAGAGGCTGAGCGCCTGCCTTTGGCCCAGGGCATGCTCCTGGAGACCTGGGATCAAGTCCCACATCGGGCTCCCTGCAGGGAGCCTGCTTCTCCCTCTGCCTGTGTCTCTGCCTCTCTCTGTGTCTCTCATGAATCAATCAATCAATCTTAAAAAAACAAAAAACATGGACATCTTTAAAGAAAATCCTATATCATTTATGAAATTATTCCCTCACCCCACACCCCCCTCAATTCTCCCTTGGGGAAGCCTGCTGTCCTGTCATGGGGACACTCAGGCAGCCCTGTGGGAGGCACAAGCGGTAAGGGAAGAAACTTGGGACTCCTGCCAAGAGCCATTTAAGTGAAGCACCTGAGAAGAGGACTGTTGAACCCCAGTCAGCCCAGACGGCTGCAGCCTTGCCCCAACAGCTGGGGCCAAAACCAGAGCCCAAAACACCCAGCTAAGCCATTTCCAGGTTCTTAGCCTTAGAATTTTGTGAAGTAATAAACGGTTGTTGTATTAAGCCTTGGGTTTTGGGGTTATTTGTTATGCAACAGATAATGAACACACACAAAAAAAACCAAAGTTAGGAAATTTGACATTTGCCAAGCTTACAGTACACAAAACTGGGTTAGTTGGCTTTCAGGAAGGAAGAAGAAAAGGTCATTAAAACTTGCAAAATAGAATTCCTTCCACCTAGTTTATTTTCTTTCCTCATCTATCCTGAATATGGTTAACAGTATCTTCTTCCTCTGTAAGCCACTAATCAAAACAAGATCAAAACAAGATTACAATTGAAGAGGAGTTAATCCCAATAAGAGCACTCTTACAGTATATCAAAGATACTAACCTTTCCAAACAAAAATAGTGTATAAGGTAAAACAGGTATGTGAAAACCATTCCAGGAAGATACCAAAATAAATAAATATTTATTGCATACTTACTATATTTGAGGGTCTGAAGAAACCCTAGAAAACCTTTAGTAAAGGCTTTGCCTCTCAAAAAAGAATTTAAAACTTTTGCCAAGGGAGACCTCTCCTATTCATTAATTTTTTATGTGGATGCCAAGTTAGCACAGTATGGAAGTAACAGTTCTTCTGAAACCTGTACTCTGTGTTGGTGGCAAAGTACATGTCAAAGACAGAAAAAGGGATGAGCACTCTCACTTTGGCCGGCAAATTCACAGCACTGCCTTTAACATTCCCAATGCCATTCTTTAGCCAGGAGAGACGTAGGTCACAACTTCAAGATCAAGAGATTCTGATTTTAAAACTTAATGTGTGATAAGAAAGGAAAAAAAGTTGTAACAACAAAAGAAGAAAACAAATATAAATCTGAAGAATATAGGGTTTGTGGCTAAATGGGCTTTCAAAATGTGGATGTTGGGACAACTGGGTGGCTCAGCAGTTGAGCGTCTGCCTTTGGCTCAGGTCATGATCCCGGGGTCCTGGGATCGAGTTCCACATCGGGCTCCCCGCAGGGAGCCTGCTTCTCCTTCTGCCTGTGTCTTTGCCTCTCAAGAATCAGTAAATAAAATCTTAAAAAAAAAAAAGAAAAAGATTCTCTCTTTCCCTCTGCCCCACCCCCTCACACACTCTTTTTCTCTCTAAATAAATAAAATCAAATAAAACAGATTAATCCATGTCACTCCTCTGATTAAAGCCCTTGCCTGACCTATTGTACTTGGAATAAAATGAACACTTCTCATGTAGGTCACAAGGTCCTACATAAACTGGTTTCTCTAACTTCGTCCCTGCCTGTCCTCCTTGCTCCAGCCACAATGGTCCTCTTTTCAGAAGCCAACCTATTTTGTACTTTTCTGCTTACTACTCCTCTGCTGGATTTCCCCTCAAACCCCCCGATGTTTCATGACAGGCTCGTTCTTTCTCATAATCTAGGTCTCTAGCTTCTCTGGGAAACATCTCTAAACCAGCTACCCCCACCCCCACTTCTCACTTACATTCATCCCACTTTCTGGTCTTCACTGCATGAACCCATCTGAAATCCCTGTGTTTTCTTGTCTGCCTCACCTACTAAAACAGAAGCTTCATGAGAGCAAGGACCTTGCCTGTCTTGGTCACCAGTTTACCCGACACCCAGAACAGTGCCTGGCACATGGTGACACAGTGAGTGTTCCGCACGTATTTGTTGACTGACTGTGTTTCATCACTGTAATAAAAACTACTACATCAGCAGTTTACTGACTGCTTTATATATGCCAGGTGTTTTGATCTTTAAACTTCAAAATAACCATATGAGTTAGATATTCATTAAATCTATGTTACTATGAAGAAAATGAAGTAATTTGCAAAAGGTCACCCAAATGACCTTGAGTAAACTATTTAACCTCTCGGAAACCATTTTTTTTCTTTTCCCTTGTAAAATGGCAGAACTAGAATACCAATCTAGGTTTTCTTGAGCTTTAAAATCCCCATGCTTTTGTTTCAATGCAGCGAGCGATTTTTTTTCTCCACCTTTATCGAAGTATGCTTGACAAATGAAAGTTGCGTACATTTAGGGTATATCCTGCGATAATTTATTACATATACACATTATGAAGTGATTACCACGGTTGACTTAATTAACACATCTATCACTTCACATTAGCTACCATTATCCAGTGATTTTTTTTAAGGTTTTTTTTAAAAAAGATTATTTATTTATTTATTTATTCATTCATTCATTCAAGACAGAGAGAGAGAGGCCAGGAGCCCGACGTGGGACTCGATCCCGGCACTCTAGGATCACATCCTGGGCCGAAGATTTTATTTTTAAGTAATCCCTATGCTCAACATGGGGCCTCAACTCACAACTGTGAGATCAAGAGTCACATGCCAAGGACGCCCGGGGGGGCTCAGTCAGTTAAGTGTCTGCCGTCAGCTCAGGTCATGGTCCCGGGGTCAAGTCATGATCCCAGGGTCTGGGGATCAAGCCTGATGTTAGGCTCCCTGCTCAGTGGGGAGTCTGCTCTGGCCCCTGCCCCTGCTCCAGTGATTTTTTTTTTTTTAAAGATTTTATTTATTTGAGAGAACAAGTGAGAAAAAGGAGCAGGAGGGAGAGGCAGAAGCAGCCTCCCTGCAGAGCAGGGAGCCTGATGCGGGCCCAATCCTGGGACTTGGGGATCATGACCTGAGCCAAAGGCAGATGCTTAATGGACTGAGCCATCCAGGTGCCCCCCTTTCAGTGATCCTTAACGCACCTCCCATGCTAATCTTCTGCTACAGTGAGCCTCTCTTACTGAAGGGAGAATGTCAGGCAGAGTGCAATGTCTCGTACCATGGCAGTGCTTATAAATGGACCACGGCAAATATTCTCTCCTATTATACAAAGAGACAAGAGACAAGAATGATGGAACTTAAAAGGTTTTCTCCCTAGAGTGTCTTACAAAGAAATGAATGACTTTAATGGACAAAGGATCCATATGGCCAGGATGTCCTAAAAGGTGTCCTTCCTTTGTGTGGGAGACAAGCCTACATGATTTCTAATGTACATTCAAGCTCAGTTTACACCTGCACCATCAATTTCAGTAGTCTAGTCTACAATAAGCCAGCGAATAAATACACGTATTTATTAACTTAATGCTTCAAAGACTGAGAATTGAAAGGCACAATGTGATTCGGAAACCACCCTTGGTGAGTAGTAAAGACAAGAAGTCACAATACCTCCCCTGCCTTCACCACACAAATTTCCTTCCTCCCACGTAGTGTTGTGCGGCAGGGAACCATGGTCAACCTGTAACCGCCCTCGTGGGGCGCCCACTAGTCAGAAGGTGCTGAACAAAGGTAAGGAAAGAAGATGGCACAGGGCTATGGAGGGTGTACCAAGGTACACAAATGAAAGTTCTATTTTAAAGGGTGAATGCACAGTTTCCTGACAAACAAGCCTATTTTCAGATAACATCTGCAAAGAAGTCAAAGAGGTTACT